AGCTCAGGTGGTTCGAATCCTATCTTCAAGACAGGGCTTTTTCTGTTCGAATCCTCGATAAAATTTCTACTGCAAGATTATGCAGATCAGGGGTTCCGCAAGGCAGTATCTTGTCGCCAATTCTATTTGTCATATATACTGTCGACCTACCTAGCTTTCTCACCATAGACCCGGGAATTAGAGTAGCTGCATATGCTGATGATATTAAAATTTATATCGCTTATGACCAGCATGATAAGGATAGAGCTAATGTAGCACTCCGCAATGCAATCTCTCGAATGATGCTTTGGGCTAGTAGATGGAATATCAAGGTAAATTACGCTAAGAGCTGCACAGTTCCCATTGGCAGAACGCCGTTTCATCCTAGAGATAACTTTGAACTTGAATGCAAATTTTTGATCAAAGATCTTGGTGTTTATACGGATTCTAAGTTGAAATATTCAAGTCACATAGATGAAATCTCATCTCGAGGTACTCGAACACTGTATGCCTTAATGCGCACTGTTCAGTCCTGTGACCCCGAACTTTTAGTGAGAGTCTATAAAACGTTTGTTCTGCCAGTGGTAGAATATTGCAGCTTTGTATGGAATCCTACATTGAAAAAAGACATTGATAAGATCGAGAAAATCCAAAGAACATTCACAAAGATTGTATTTTATCGTGCCTTCCCCAATCCAGAATATTCATCCGCCTTGCCGAATTATAAAACCATTCGTAAATTGGGTCTCAGAACGCCTTTCTACAGGAGGTTTTTGGCTGACATTCTTATGGCTTTTAAAGTACTGCGAGCCGAGGTAGGTTTGAGGCCCAGTAAATACTGGGTTTTTCGACCTATCAGCGAACGTAGGGCATCTCTTAACCTGTTTGTTTCTAGGTTTGGGAGGTACAACATTTCGCTACAGTCCAACAATTTCTTTTATTGAGCAGCTTCTTTATTGAACAAGTTGCCACCGTCTTTCTTAGCCGTAAACTCAGCAGTTCAACTGAAAGCCCTGCTAAAGAAAGTAGATATTCTGCAGCTATGTGGAGTTGACGACGTTGTGTAATTTGACATCTATCGCAGTTACTTATCCTCTATTGGCATGATCTGTTACGCATCTAGCTAGCTTCATCTTATGACTGGTAGTGAACTCTTTTGCTACAGTTTCTGTTACTAACGATATGGTTTGCTGTTGCATTGTTGTTTTTCTAACCGCTCCTAGATAATAGTATTAGCAGAGCACTTTTAGGTGCATCGAAAATAAATAAAAATAAATAATGGCAGAATCAAACAGCTTTTACAATGACACTTTTTGTTTAGAAAGGAAACGCCAGCTGCTCTTCTTCTCAGACATTAAGACTGCAAGTTATCAAATCAACAGCGTTTTGTTGAAAAAACACGCGCTCGAGACCTGCACTCAAAGTGGCATGCAATATTAATGAATACACATTGTCTCAAGAAAAAGTTAAGCAAGAGTAGAAAATTTGAACTAGTTAGTGATGGATGCAAGTTTGCTGACAATAATCGTACCATATCTCCTTTCACTAGAGAGAATAAAAACAGATAAGAAAGCAGTCAGATTACTCGTTCCTCAAGCTTCCGAATCATATATAAAAGCTCGAAAAAGACCTTGGTTTGAAAAGATAATTACCCAGAATTGGCTGATATTGTGATTAGATAAAACTGCTCGTATCTCGCTTCACAAAAAGGCTAGGAAAAAAGAAACGGTGTAAGTCGATTCCTCGTGTTCTTAGCTATCGAATGATATTCAAAGTGTTGGTGCACAAGCTTTTCCAATCCTAAAAAGTCTTGCTCGGGCGACCCATAGAAAGCCGGAGCGGGGTGGAGCAAGTTAGTATTGAATATCTCCACCTCATTTTTGAAAAGCCACAAGTTTTTTCACCCAACAACCTATATATCATTAGAAAGCTCACGAAAAAGGGATTCTATGTAGACCGTCTTTTTTTCTCTGGCTCCCCTCTACCTAAAGATACATGGCATTTTAGCTAAAAACATGTGTGATTTTGTCAAGAAATTCCTGCGTGAAGAATGAATGAAAGTGCCTGTTTGTCTAACAATATCACGGAGCATGACCTTGCCAGTAAACATGGACCGTAACTTGTTGAAGCATTTTGCTTTCAGGGCTCACTTACTCCCTTCGCTTTACAAGGATGAGACAGCAGAGACCCCCTCACCTGGAGAGGGCCCGGCTCCCCCTATCGTACCTATGGTGCGAGGGAAGGTGCTAGGGGCTCTTGTGTATCCCCCCCTCCCTCAAACCGATTAAGCAACATAAGGCTAAAAATTCCTTATACGAAAATGCGTTTCATTTCTGTAGGACATCCCCCAAAATATTGGATTTCTTGATTTCTGGGTTCTGAACACTGGATTGCTTTTAAATGCTGGAAGTTCTCGTTATTGTTGGGAATATAAAACTCAGAGCACACAAATCAATGTGGTGAAACATGACGGATATCTATTAGGTTGTCCGGAAATTAATGCAGGTTTTAATTTCCAACCGCAGTAGGTCATACATTTCTCATTTTTTAGTAGGTTGCAAGGTACTGTTCGATAGAGCAAAGCAAGCTCTACAAGATGGCTATCTTGATTTAGCAACAGCTCTAATCCACCACGAGTTTCGAGCCAAAAACTAAAAAGGTTCAACTGCTTGAAAAATTGAGAAAAATCGTAACTCAGTTCGTAAAAATCCTACAAAAATTCTAACTTGCTCATGTAAACACAATCCACATAAGGCATCTATATACGCCGTTGCCGTATTTTTTTCTCTGTTAGAAATCAAGAAAACGGAAATTTTCGGACATTTGCTAAAGAGGTGCTGTAGCCATTCGCACATAGGTAGTTGTATACTACAAACCTTTGGAAGTACAAACGTAAATTTCCAGCTCTCTACAAGCTTTAGTTCTCGAGAAATATCGATTGCAGTTTTCCCTAGTCATGTGGTCCAAGCAAAAATTCAAATTTCTCGCGAACTAAAGCTTGTAGAGAGCTGAAAATTTACGTTTGTTCCTCTAAAGGTTTGTAGTATACATCTACCTATGTGCGAACGGCGCAACACCACTTTATCAGATGGACGAAAATTTAACAGAGAAAAAAATACGACAACGGCGTATATAGATGCCTTATGTGGATTGTGTTCACGTGAGCAAGTTAGAATTTTTGTAGGATTTTTACGAAGTAAGTTACGATTTTCCTCAATTTTTCGGGCATTTTAATCTTTTTAGTTTTTGGCTCGAAACTCGTGGTGGATTAGAGCTGTTGCTAAATCAAGATAGCCATCTTGTAGAGCTTGCTTTGCTCTATCGAACAGTACCTTGCAACCTACTAAAAAATGAGAAATGTATGACTTACTGCGGTTGGAAATTAAAACCTGCATTAATTTCCGGACAACCTAATACGTAGCTGCACTGACATCAGAATTTTCTTTTTGGATAAAAAGCTGGATTTCGAAGGTGCAGTAGATCATTGCAAGAAGAGTGTAGCCGTCTCACAGAATGGCATTTGCTGAACGACAAAGAGACTGAGTAATAATCACGGCTTCCTTAGCCGGGCAAACATTGATGAGGAAATATTTCTTTTCCGGAAGTACATGGTAGAGGAATGGTTGTGACAACATTCACATCATATTTTGTTGCTGTGCTTTTGTGATAAGAAGATCGTTTAAAAGAGGATCCTATAAAGAAGAAGCTTATTTGCTGACTGTAGAGCGCAAAAGTAGGATAAATCGCGATTGGTAACTATAAATTGCCTGGTCATCCTTACAAGTTACAAGCGAGGTTGCCAGGTTTGCGAGAATGGTAGCAGGAAGGAAATTTGGAGGAAGTGAGATTATGGTATCCCCTTGATTCGATCACTTGTACGTTTATACTTGCTACTTATTTGGCTTGCGAATCTGTACATTCTGATGAATGTGGGTTTTCGCAATTGTCTCTCGTTAACATTTGAGTCAAAGGACTGACTGTTAGGCTGCGTTCATACTGATTCGAAAGTACGGGAATAGTTCCAGCACAGCGCTCGAAATGAGCGCTGTGCTAGAATTGTTCTCGAACTTCCGGATCAGTATGGACGCAGCCTTAATCATTATCTGTTCTTCTTTTATAGGTGCACCTTGCGTCTGTGACTTAAATAAAGTAATTTGAAAAAGGCCAGTGATCTCTTTTTTTCTACTTTGCGAAGAGGTTGATTTTATAAAGGAGACTAATAGAAGTCATAAAAAAGGACTTTTCCGATACCTTGCACAACCGTTAAACCAAATGTAAAAGTCTTCCATACTTGCACATGAAGACGAACATAAAGATATCTTCATTGGCCTTTTCCCTATACTTGGACTGCCTGTGTTCAATGAAAATTTGAAACGTTTGACATTGTTGTTATGATGAACTTCTGCTATGGTAAGCAGAATTTCTTTGAATCGAAATTTTTCTAATTCAGTTGCCTTCGAGTGCAAGTAACTAGTGTTTCAGCGGTTTAGCGTTGTGAAATCCTTTGCCTAGTGCACAGAAAATTTTTACACTTTTTGTAAGTAAAAAACATTTTTGTAAGGAAGTACATATTTGCAAAAAATAGAGATTTTGTGTACCCGAACTGAGCTCTGGTTGAGCTAGAGAGATTGCCAGGTGTGTGAAAATGACAAATGTTTCAAGGAGATTTTTCTTAACTTGATAGATATTTGAGACAGTCCAGTAGGCATGCGCTTTTTATGCCACGACATCGGAAAGTGAATAATTGCCATCTATTCGTTCTGACATGGAATTGGAATATATTCACATAATATATAAAAACAGCAGGATATTCTTGCTCTGATGTTTTTACTGAATGTTTGGGTAACATTTTGTTGCAATTCGTGATTGCACAGCTGATGCTCTGCAGAGGCTTGACAGATGTACATATAGTCGTAAGAGATATATAAAGTCCATCAGCTACGGATTTTCATAAAATCTTGCTTGAATTTTTCCTGGCCTCTTTTACTAGAAAAATTTTACAAACCATTATTTCAGTTAAGATGATCAAAGTGCTGATCTGCCTGATGAGCTTTGTTGCTATTGTACTGTCTAGTATCGTAAATGACAATGTCATTAGTCCTGAATTCATACTAGGAACTCCACTGACCGAAACAACCATCCCGCCGCCCAAGGTGAGTATTTAGAAATATTTCGGTGTTGAAACTCTTGCTGTTAAACGTTTTCTGCGTAAAGAAGAATATAATGGGAGGTTTTTAGCATGTGCTAACACACTCATGAATATTGAACCTCTGCATTTTCAGAACTGCACTGATAATATTACAATTTGCGACAAATACTTATCTCTATGTGCCAACAAACTGTATCAACCCGTGATGAGCATACAATGTGCAAAAACATGCAAATTCTGCACTGCGTGTGAGGATAAAAGCGAAAAGTAAGCATCTCAACATAATATCTGCTGTAAGTCCTGTTGATGTTTCTCCCTGACGTTGGTTTTATACCTACAAATAACACTCAGGTGTTCGTCTTGGAAAAGTGCCGGATTCTGCTCAAACCAGTTTTATGCGGAACTAGTGAAAAACCTATGTGCTCTTACATGTAATCTATGTGAATAAAGTTTTATGATGTATGCAGAATTTTAGGTCACATATTTATACCTTTCTCTCTGTTGTATTTTAAGTCAATAAAAATGCAGGAATTGTCTACTCCAGATCTGCCTTACTGATAATAGTGATAAAAGACGTTAACATCGACTCTCTGCTTAGGATATATATATTAGAATATGAAAAATTGTCTGTTGTATAATTCTCTGGAATATAAGTGGAAGGTAACTGTTATCTCTCGAGTGGAGAGCCTACACGGAAATTGCGCCATCCAAGAGCTCTAAATTAGCACATGCGCGCTGTCTGGATTTTCTTTCATATCTGCAAAACAATTTTGGGAAGTACCCTAATTTCACGCGTACAAGGCGCACCTTTTTGGATTTTTCGACTAAGCCCCTCAGCCGCTACAAATTATTTCGGAAAGCGATCCTTACGTACGATTCTCTTAAGCAATACAGGGTGTCCTAAAAAAATGTATCGAACGTTTGATCGTTGATATCTCTCTTCCCGAAAAGTCTTTTTCCTTGCTTCAAGCACCATTTTGTAGAGCTGGCTTCAACTTAGATTTGCGTTATAGAGTGAATCATCCATCTCTCTTCATTACTGTAGGATTACGGTAGAAACTTGAAACATATGGTGTCAATGTGGAAAAAGCTGCCGTTTCAAAACTTTTCAAAAAAATGTGAAAACTTTTGTACTAGGGTTTTTATGGACGCTGAGTTTAATACAACTATTCACGGGATTACGAAGCCTTCTAAACGGTGTAACCGCAGTTTTTAGGAACATTGAAAAAATGGCCGCTACCTCTTACCTGGCATAACTCTTCAATGAAGCATCATAATAAGTTGGGAGCTTACAGTTATAATCAGCAACTCAAATTAGCCTAGTGCAAAAGTTTTGAGAAATTAGCCTATTGCAAAAGTTTTGAGGCTGTTTTGTTTACTTTCCGAGGCAAAGTATGGGCTTTCATTGCTTAAAACCTTTGAAGTTTCTACCGTAATCCTACAGTAATGAAGAGAGATGAGTGATTCGTTCTATAATGCAAATCTAAGTTGAAGCCAGCTCTACAGATTGGTAGTTGAAGCAAGGGAAAAGACTTCTTGAAAAGAGAGATATTAACGACCAAATGTTCGATACATTTTTTTGGGACACCCTGTATACAGCAAGGCATAGGATCCTTTGGTTGCGAAGTTCTTTGGCATATCTGGGCTGGTCGATTTTGGAAAAAAAATCTCCCCCGCGCCTTGTACGCGTGAAATTAGGGTACATAATTCAGGGAGCCTTTGCTAAAAGAAATTTTCTTTCTTGCTTTTTGCCCGCTAAATCGCACCTAACACTTACAAACTTGGGCGTCTTTCCACATGTTTCCCTTGATATAACTGGCGTGTCACTCACCAGAATTCCGCTGAAAATACGGCTCATGGTGTTCTTTACTGAATGCTTTTCAGAGCTCATCAGAATCAGCTTCTTAAGACGGATTTGTAGACATAATCAGTGGTCCAAAGTCCAAGTTCACCAAATATCCTCCTATCGCTTCAGCCATGTATTATATTGTATTATTATATAGTATTTAGTATTAGGTCGTACCGAAAGTAATGTCGCTTTTTTCAAACGTATGCCACATCTCGTGGAACAAAGATACGTAAGAGATTCTGGTAGCATTTGATGCAGCATTTCATTCTCTTTCTGAAGTTTATGAAGCTGTTGCAATATATTCAATGAGCTTCCGGAAAAGAGTCAAAATCTGCGACCTATGTTTTTTAAGATGGCTAAGTTTCACAATTTTTCTAAAATTTTATAACAAAATTCAGAAGGAGTCCAAGTAATGGATGGATGGAGCAAGCCATACAGGAAACAGCACAACTTTTTTCCACTTTTCAGAGCTCGTCATAATTTTTGTACAGATTTTTTTAATGGAACCGCCGAATTTTAGCAAGCTCATCTCAGACACAAGTGCATCAAACGCCAACAAGTCTTCGGATTTTGAAACTTACAAAGATGGATTATGGTTTGGCTACAATTTTACAAACCAAACGAACATTCACCACTTCGGTTTAGCAACTTTCGAAAATTTCGGGTGCCTTGGAAAAGTTGAATTATGATCATTTTATCCCGGAAAACTCGATGAATCGGAAACGAGAAACAACTGCTAGAAAGAGGAGAATAAGCTGCATCGAATGACACCCGAGTCGCTTGCCGGTTGTTGTTCTGTGGGGTTTGTCTTGACTAAATATGGATTTTGATGGCATTGAGAAATTGAGTGTAGAAACTCTGAGAAGCAAGCTAAGGAAAAGAAAAAATTACTCTGTGTTCTATAGTGTTTGCTCTATCTACCTGCCACTTGTACTTTTTCGGAGATTAGGTACAAAAATTTAGAAAAATAGCCGAACTTGACCATGGCAAAAAGCATGAGTCGCAGATTTTGGTAATTTTTCGAGGGCTCATTGAACATTCTGCAGTAAAATTGCAACCACTAGAAAGAGGATGAAATGCTGCATCGAATGCTCCTAAGATCTTTTGAAAATGTTGATTCCACGAATAGGCGTTCATTCGAAGAAAGCGACATTATTTTCGGAACCACCTAATATAATTCTCGCTAACAAAAAATGTTTTAAACTCTCTTTTTAGACCTGTGTCCATGTTGCTCTAAACGTGTGCTTTAAACCGAGTATCAAGTTGGCAGAAAGCAGTTCTAGTCTTATGACTCATTGTTAGTAGACACATGAGTTTTAGCGCCTTCACACCGATCTGGTCAGCATAAATGCAGGTGTGTGATCTGTTCCCTCTTTCGTCGCGGTACAAAACAAACCGGTTGGAATCTCTTAAGGGACCTCCAAAACAAACATGCTACTGACGTAAACATTTCAAGAAATATCGGCAAGTAGGGATATAATTGCGACCTTTCTGGTATAGTTGTACCAGTGAACTTATCGGTATATCGGCTCAAGTTACTTATGAGGATTTTTGTAAAGGGAGTGCTTCACTATTCTAGTTTCGTATTTATAAGACCTGACTTGAAGTTCAGCTACTGAACTGTGGTAGACAATTTCAATCAAACCACAAACACGCGTCTTTCCAAACCTTCTCGAACTTGCTTCTTTTCCCTTACAATTACACTATTACAACAGAAAATTATTAAAATTTGTCGTCTGGTTATACGCAATCAAAAGGATGAAGTGGTTCGTTGGTTTTTACTAGGTTGGCTAGAAAATAATTTCTTATCTGCAAATCTCCCGTTTGTAACGATACAAAATGGTTATGCTAAGCTCTTATCGCTTATCTGCTTCCATATCGCTTGACGCTTGTAATGTCTTCAGTGGGATTCTTTTGATGGTGTTGTCTTGCGCTCTTCTCAAAAAGCTTCATAATGAAATGCGTCAATTGCCAAAGGGTGTTTAAGTATTCCGCTGTAAGACAGCTTTGACGAGATAGTTCACAACAATGCTGAGTGAGTGTTTCCTATATCATGCCTCAATTTTATTACTTCGCTTTTCGCTACTATCAATAAATCTGTGCTGGATTGACGCTCGCCGATCAAAACATAGAAAATTTTCTTGTTGCTTTTTATCCATGAATTTCTAAAGAGAAATCCGGCAAAGCCTCTACTATCACATATCAACTGATCAGATTTTTCTGTTATTATTGCAGGACCATTTGGCTAAATTTTCGAAAGCGCAACTTCTCGAATTTGCAAGCTTCGTTTCCATGCTGTAATGGATGTAGAGACGAGCAATTCAATGTTTGGAAACGTCGAGTTTTTTCTATCTAGAGAACCACGGCAAAAGTTGTGATCTGCCATTTTGAAATTTTTGGGCAGAAAGAAACTAAATTTTCTCACATCTGCGCACAAAAAAAAATTGGCGTATTTCACTTTTTTGCTCAATCTACCCATACAAAATTTAAATTTCACTTCTTATTGGAGGCTCTTTCTGGATTTTTCAATGCCCATTATTTACTTTTTCACAATATTATTGAAAAGCCAATTAACTTGAATATGAATTGCAAAAATATTGTCCGAAATGGTGAATCATTCTCCGCTGTATCAATCCTGGGAAGAGCAATGAGTTGATACATGTAAATTTTAAGTTAATGTCTCAAAAACGTTTTCTCTCTTACCGAAATACTAAGTTGTGTGAGTGGTCAGTTCTATCACAACTCGAGGTCACTGGTTCCGTTGTGCCGACTACTTAGGGGCTCGACATACCAAAACAGGTCTATTGTCCACCGCCTCGTGAGATCTGGATTTTTTTCTCCTGCCACTCTTTGAATAGACCGCCTCGTTCTACCGACATAGTCTACTCAAGCTCCATCAGGTATTCTTCCATCATAATCTACCCAAGCTCCGTCAGGTAATTTCCTTCCCATGCTTCGCTTTTTAAATTTATTTTCATTTAAACTTATTTTTCAGATAAACGACTATGCAATCCATTATTTTGCTCCTCGCCTGCTTAGCACCTACATTCGCTCAGATGGGAATGATGGGACCGATGGGAATGGGTGGAATGGGCATGGGACGAATGGGAATGGGCGGAATGGGCGGAATGGGCGGAATGGGCGGCATGATGGGACCCATGGGAATGGGTGGCATGCCTGGAATGATGGGAATGGGCGGGATGGGTATGATGCCTCCAATGGGACCAATGGGGATGATGATGCCTCAGATGGGTATGATGGGAATGGGTGAGTAAACTTTTTACCAATTATCATTTACCATTTTTCATCACTCGGATCCATTGAGTGACAGCATGATACTGTTAAATCAATGTTACACATTCTAACTGCTCTTTTTAGTTTGGGACACTTTTAATAATTTCTATCCGTTGGCATAGTTCCTCTTGTTCTTGTTTTTTCCGCTTGGATGGTCTAAAATGTTTCGCAATTTCAAACTTTCCTTGACTTGCTTAACCAAAGGATGTTGTTTTCAGGTCCTTTTGGATACGGCAAATAACCTCAATCTCAGAAAACCCGTGAAAAGAAATGATCATACATTCCTTCCATATCTGTGCAAAGTAATGTCTCTGTATTATAATTTTCCTATTTATTCCTTAAGTGTGTATTGCGTTATCATTGTTTCGCATTTTTGCATTAGAATTTTTATTAGCCCAACAAGGCATAACATATGTGTTCTATTGTTCATAAAATGAAACGCAAGCCCAAAATTAATGTCAGCTTTGCTATCAAGCTAGACAAATCTAAAAGTCTCCATTTAGATGGAAGAGTTAGGCGTATATGTGCAAAGAGAAGGCTTCAAAGTAGACCCTTTCAAATCTTTTTTGAAATCAAAGGCGTTCGAAATGTTGGAATTTAAGGCACAGTAATATTTCACTATACTCACACTCCATAATGCATTTTAGCTGCTGTACTGCGCAGGGGACACGAAAGAGGAAAAAAAAGAGGAAAAATGTGCTTCCGAAAATTATCAATATTGCTGAAATGCCGTCGGCTACTTTTAACAGGCCCCGAATAAATATGACTCATGAATGAATTGAGAGTGAAAGTGGCCAAATTTTTTTGAGTTCAATGTTAGTGATTTCCATATCATCAAACACCCGATTATCACCGTCATGAAAACTGTTGTTGGAACTATAGGGATTCGAACTAACTGGATATATGGTCTAATCAAATTGAGCTTGACTCTGTACTGATCATAAACTTATGGAAGTTGAAGGCACTTATATATGCAGTTGATTTTCAAACTGTTGAATGTGAATGCTCAAGCAGAGAAACATTTTATTGCCTCATATCATTGCCTGAGAACAAATGCAGATATTTCGGCGTCAGAAAGTACTCAAACGCAAATTATGATATAACATAGTAAGCTCTCAATTGTGGGATTTAGTGACTTCGACAAGATATAGCCAAGGGTACTTGCACATAAGCACTCTTGATTCCTAGTGCAACATACTCACCTTGAACAGCATCTAATGAAACATAGGCTTATGGTTATGGTTGGTGTGGTAATCTCAGAGGAAAAGCTCATGTTTGAAAATTTCATAAATTGATATTGATACCAAAATTCAAAATACTGCAGTGATCGAGCCATCTCATACCTGCGGGAAAGCAGTCCGCGTGATGTCATGATCAGCGTAGGCAAGGTGATAGCAATGAGATGAAATCTCGTATTCGTCAAGCATTTGGCGAACGATTTGGCTAACATTTCGTGGTATAGTCAAATCACTTCGTAGACAGTTGCAAACTACCTATACCGTAGAAATGGATTGGCTTATGTTCAAAAAATTCAAATTGCGTTTGATTAGTCGATCCTTTTATGTTAAAATGCTGGAAACTCAACGTCATGTTTAACTTAACGAGTAGGCAGTAGTCCTTCTGAGCTGTTTGAACCATCATTTGGTACGAAAACAGGAACCATCTTTTCCATAAAAGCGGTGATATGTTGTGCTTCTAATGCTGCTTTCTTTGCCTCTCCTTGAAGCACATTCGGTTTGGCTCCAAATTTTTTCGTGGATTCCACGACTTGACAGGAGATGTCCAAAACAGCAAGTTTCACTTCCAATAAATCTGAATTTGCAAGCCGAGCGAAACTGTAAGAACGTGACTAGCCAGCAAAAGAGACAGAGTTTGTGTAATGCACTGTAGAGATAATCGCGTTCGTTTGAGCCAAGGCTTCAGAATTCAGATTCATAAAATCACTGTGATGTAAATTCGTAATCTCTACAGCTGCTTCGAACACAAAAACGGTAAACTTGAGCAACCTACCAATTAATGATTATAAAATTAGCAAAGCAGCAAAGTTCTAGTTTTTCATCTTTCATTGCAACGTCAATATGGTGAAAAATCAATACGATTTTACCTCAGTAAAGAGTAAAAAAAGACATTTTTACAATTCACTCTGCAAATTCCGATCAAAGGACTACCTATAGATTACAGAAGCACTTCTAGTCGCACAACAACAGATAAACTGATTCGTTGTCTTCCTTCTAACAGTTCTCCAACTTCAATTTCAAATAACAGCCAGTTGTAAAGCATCAGGTGACTGTAAAAATCTATAAGTGCAGATGATAATCTTGCAGTTCAGTAATTAGCCAAAGCACCAAAACCAAATAATCTGTGCACTAACCAAAACATGATAACAACATAGGAAGTCAAAAAAAGTGATTTCTAAGAGGCTAACCAAAGACTTATCTGCCTTTCATTACAAATGAGAGATTATAATTGAAATTTGATGGTACAGGTTCGAGACTGTCATCCAGAAAAAAATAGCTTAACAAAAGCTATTCAATTTGTTATGGAGTGTCGTATTTGCATGTAAAAACGAGGTTTTCTAGCCAAGCTAGGATTACCGTAATCAAAAAGTTGATTTCACCGTTGGTGTACTTTGCCACAACGTGAACGTTGTTTGTTGCTAGTTCCAATCAATTTGATTAATGATACGATTTTTGCTCCGGCACTAAGCTTCTGTACATTTCCAAGTATATTATTGGGTGTTACGTCTCTTTCTACGGGCATCCATCAAGTTTTGAGGACACCACAGTACGGAAGCTCTTAGTGTAAGCAGGATCGTTATTGATATGAGTGAAAAAAATTCGATGTCATCTAAAATAGTTATTCGTCTTGAAACTAAGGAAAGTGTGGGGCTTGCCGGCAGATTTTGTGAACTCCTCAGTCACAAAAAACAGACCATAGCCTTAAATTACTGGCATGAAGAACAAAACCCGCTTATTAAAGACATTCAAATTGGCTTCTAGACTCTACACCAATCTCAGCTTGAAACTGCTGTTCAAAACTAATTTAATGGGAGCCTAAAATGATTCAGCTTTTTGGAGTAGAGGGGATTTTCTGCGTTACATTACCCGAACGAATTACCCGCATGGAAAAGCAGTTCAGAAGACGGGAAAATGATGCTTTGGCCAAGCTGAATCTTGTCCTTGTCTGAAGCAGGTACTCTATTATGCCGAAAGTGCTATCACCAAAGTCCTACTTATTCGACAAAGAGTTATAATGTAAGCCCCTATTTACAGGGAAGTGTTAAGATTAGATTGGTAGTAGTGAATGTAAAACTTCGAGGTGAATACCAAACTTTTGGTAGGGGAAAATCGCAGACTTTTCTGCAAAAAAATCACACTCACTTTTATATGAGCTGCTTGTTGTCAAATACGCATACAGGTCATTTTCAAAATCGTGACGACGGATTTGACCGCGGGCTTTGCGCTCACAAGAGCTTAAAACACTCATACAAAGAGGCATCAGCTCAACGCTCAGCTCAGTCACTTCCAGTCTCAATACTATTATTGTAAGCAGAAAGACCACATAAGTATAGGTGAAAACGAAGGGAATGAGGTTGCCGGACGTTGTCGTGTCATGTCTTATCGTTTAGCACATTCCCATCATAGGGCATTGCTCAATGACCTATACAACCGATTCAACAATACTCTAGTATTCCTTCCAAGATGCTGATGAAATTGAGCATTTTTGAGAACTAGTCATTCTGCTTATTGCTGTTCTCAAAGAGTCCACAAAGGGACATTAAAGGTATTTTGATTACATATTTTCCAGTGTGCTTGTTTTCTCTCCATAACAAGGCTGCTGAACAGTAATTGAAATTGAAAATGAAGCTTAGTTAAGGACTAGGATCAGCGTATCATCGAATAGCCTTACTACGAATTTTTTTCTAGCACTTGCGTTGATGTCCTGTTTCCAACTCACGAACTAACAGAGTTGTTTGCGAAAACATTGCGCAATTTTTTTGATTTGAATGCCTCAGATTTGTTCTGTATATTGAAAGATTTGATGAGTATCTTTCACTCATTTAATTGTAGGAGAAATTCCTGATTGAAAGTAGTCAAACTCGAAGAAACCTGCTTTTCTTGTATTTCCGTTTTCACAATAGGGCAATATATTCCCCCCCCCTCCTGAGTAAAAGTGAAGAGAACATTGACCTCGATGAGTTTCCCACTTTCTTTCAAGTTAAAGAAGTTATCCAAAGTGCGTTCATGCGCACACCAGAACGAACGACTCCCTATACATAATAGAGATCGCGGAGGTATGAAGGGTCCAAATTATCACATGTCGAGGTCACTGGGCCGTTATGCCGGCTACTTAGGCCCCGACCTCTAGCAAAACAGGTCCACTTTCACCGCCTTGTGAGATCTGGATTTCTCTCTGTCATTATTGCCCTTGAATAAATTCATTCGACCAGATTAGCCATATTGAAGGTTGATCTGGAAATCATATCATCAGTGGCTTATGCGTGAATAGCTTATCTTGCCTAATCTTCAGAAAAACTATCAATGCAACCACTTATTGTGCTTCTCGTCTGTATAGCTACTGTACTCGCTCAAATGGGAATGATGGGTCCGATGGGAATGGGAGGAATGGGCATGATGGGACCAGGAATGATGGGAATGGGTATGCGTCCAATGATGGGACCTATGGGAATGATGATGATGCGACGAAGAATGGCCATGGGCATGATGGGAATGGGTAAGTTTACCTTCACTTTTTAGGATGAGACTCAAGACTTCGGTCTGATTACCATGACTACAATAAGATTCCAAGTAATTTTCTTGGACGCTCTCTCCTCTCTGTGCACTTTTTTTCTCCTTTTCTTCCTCAAGTAATTTTATTTCTAAGACCTGTAATGGTTCTAGTAGGTTGCTCCAAAAGTACACCCCTTTTCTGAGCCAATCCTGCTTTTGTTTTCATAGCATAAATAGCATTCTAGAGCGAAGCAAGCTCTATGAATTGATCGCCGAATATCCACTTAAGTGGTTGTCCAGGTAAAGTTTGGAGCCAAAAAACAGACATTTTAATTACCTTTAAAATCAGATTTCCATCTAGAACGTTTCTAAGGATCTCTAACTGTTCATCATACAGTAGGCACCTAGTAGTATTCAAAAATGCTTTCCTGGATTTCTTTTCGGCATAGAAGTCGAGAAAGAAAATTTAGCCCAAAAATGGAAAGCTTTGCCCCCTAGCTCCTATCACATATGTGAACGCTGCAAGCCTTAGTAGGTATAACCTTAAAATTATGCCTTTACATGTGCACTGGTAATCGAGAAATACTAAGTTGAACTTTTAAAAAACCCCCCAAGAAATTGACATTTTTGCTTTTTCTAGCCATTTTGATTTCTCAATTTTGGGCCTTGAAAAAAATCCAGCAAATGCATCTATGAATACTACTATGTGTTTACTATAAGATAACAAAGTTGGTCCCGTAGGAATTTTGTGGAAGGAGATCCACTTTTCAAAGCAGTTGACAAATTTTAGGTATAGCTCAAAATTTTACCTGGCACGACTTGGATGGATCTGTGGCGGTCATTTTGCAGAGCTTGCTTTGCTCTATCGAGTGGTACCCTAAATTACTAGGAAAATGAAAGCAGCTTGATTCGGAAGGAGTGCAATTTTGGAACAACCATTTGTGCTTGCGTCCGTGGATGTCGTCAAAGTTTTGAGAACATTGTTAAAAACAATATAGATTATGTTGAAACAATGTTGTAGGAAAGAAGAAACGATTAGATGAATTTTCTCATGTTGAGAAGCTCTAATTGGCTGAAACATTACGAAAATGATCTTTTTCTTTTGATTGTCAACAGGACTATTTTTTTGAAAAGGTGATTGCAGGCCCTTATGGAATGTATGGCAAGAAATGATATGGAGAAAAGTGCCATGTGGATAAAATAAGTAGAGACTTATGCTACTAATTGGAATGTTTTTGTAATTTGATATGTTTCGTATTCATCACATTGCCTGTAAATCTGGTGCTGATATTTGTGTTTTTTTTTGTAATGTAAATAAAGTAAATGAAGTAGAAGGTTGGCGACGTGTAAGTGACATTCTAGATCTGCTTGGTACTAGTCTGCTTGAGTGAAAAAATACTGTTTTACTAGGTGGGAAATAGTAGAAGTGCATTTATCGATGTATTTCATACTTCGAGTGTTATTCATTGATTTATCGATCTACTTCCCATTATGCTAACGGCTGTGAATGATGGAGAATTTCCTCCTACGAAATGATGCCTCAGTAGTCGCTTCCAGCCGAAATTAGATCCTGCCACGATTATATACGGCTTACAGCTATGTAAAATTTCTTGTACGGTTTGGGAAAAGCCAAAAGCAATTCAACAATTTTATGCCCTTACGAGTGCAACCTCATTTTCCACGAATGTAAGACTCACACGGATAAGGTGTGGAAAATGTTCGCATCTCTTATACCTATTCTTATCGTGCAGAAGCTCGCAGACTACTTAACGGCAAGAAAATCCTGTACAGTTTGCATCTTCTGTAGTTTCCAAGAAGTTGTATTAGTTAGTCTAATTTCATCACTAGTTCATTGGAACAACAAAAATTGTAATGACCAGTTTTGTTTTGCGTTTATACAAGCGTACCAAAAAAGCACTTAGCTTCCTATCTAAGGGTATAACGGGTATGATGAGCTGATTGACAACAGCTTCTCATGCCTTTATCATTTATGTGCAGTTGAACTCTGCCACTTCAAATCAAACAGCTATTAGTCGAAGGCAGCAGCTTGTTTAACCCTTTGCACCGAATTTGAGACTACCAAAAACTTTTCCATTTTTCAAAGTCTCGACGCTGACTTTTGCTATCGGCAGTGAGGATTTCGAGATGCGCGGTGCGTGCGCATCATCTGCCAGCCTTTCGAAGGGTTTGCGATGAAGTGCTTACCATCTTGCCGGACATGGATTAGCAATTTGAAACGTCGTTCTTATCTGCTGGGCGAGGAGCTATGGACGTTTATTAGTGCAATTATCATGGACAGGGATGTAAACAGTCATACAGGTACATTATATTACCAGCTGTTGATTTGAGCTGTAGCATCAGGACTCTATACTATACTAATTGTTTATGGCTGATGCCCAACAATGGGCTGAAGCCTAGTAACATATCAGGGTGTCCCTTAATTTTTCACCGTTTTCGCTCTCCTACAATAGCTCATGTTATTGTTGTTTCTGAAATAGTTCTGCGGTACCATTCGACAGAGCAAAGCAAGCTCTACAAGGCTACACCCGAATATTTGCCCGAAGTTCTGCATGAAGTTCGAAGCCGAAATCTAAGGAGATAAATGCTCGAAAAGTCGAGAGAAAATCGTATCTTTGCTCAAAAAGTTTTTACAAACTTTGCTCAGGCAAATACTATCCATGTTCGGCGTTCAAAACGCTTTCGTTTATGTTTTCCATCGCTGGAATTGGAGAAAAAATAATTCTCGTGTTTTCGTCAAAGCTGCGCTGCGCTGCTCTTACGTAGGCAATTTTATAATATGAATCTTCGGAGAAAATTCCGGAGAAGATGATTTCGTATTCTTGGCTTATTTTGGTGTATTAGGTTGCTGCATAAGCTCTGTCCGATTTGAATTTTTTGAGTTCAAAATGCCATAACTTTCTTAAAAGTCGACCTTTTTCCAAGATCTTAGTTTCTATGTGTTGACCAGTTCCTTGGCTATCAGAAACATATTAAAATTTGCGAAAATTCTTGTTGTTTAGGAAAGAGCAAGAACTTAAAAACCTCATAGCTTTTTTCTTCAAACCTGTCTTTTTTGACATAGCAATGCTCTCTTATGAAAATCGATAGGCATCTTATCTAACAAAGCATAGATAGAGAAATTTTCGCAGATTATTTTCTAACATAAAAGAGCCCATAGGACCTGCGTTGCCAAGAGATTTTTTTTTGACCGAGCAAAAAAGAAGCCACTTTTTGACCTTGCTTCAACACATGTGTGCATGCCTATTTACGAATTATGAAACTTTTACAATTGACGTGAGCGCCGAAAAGGAATTGGTGGATGAGCTCTGCTAGCTCTTGCCTTACTCTACCATCTCCAACTTTGAACTCATCGATAGCTTCTATTCGCAGGAAGTTATTGCTTGTAAAGCATTTATACAAACAATTAATGTTCGACAGCAAATTTGACTAGCAAGACGTTTTCTCCATGAAACTGAGCTTCTGCATATACTAGCCTTCTACACCCTCATTCAGCGACTAAAGAAGGAACTTGACTTGAAAGGCGCATTGTGGAGATTTTCTCGCAAGAACATATTTATTTCTAGGGTGAGAACGTACCTCGGCTACTCGGAGATTTCAGGTCTGAAATCTCCTTATTCTGAGAAATTCACTGAAATTTAACATGCATTAGAAAGAGCAAGAAAAGCACTTTTAAATGATACCAACAATATCGCAATAGAGGCGAAATTCTTTTAGAGCAGCTGCTTCAAACATAAGGCAAAAAAATTCGGACAGAATTTATGCAGCAACCTAATATGTATGATTCTAGAGTTCTAGCTATGGAAGAAATAGCTATGCTAAGAAACAAGCAAATCTACAGATCAATCTAATATTAGATGGTGGAAAGTACATGCCAGAGCAAGTAGGAAGTCAGTGGGAGGTTTTTGAAGGGGGGATAAGATTCTTTTTCGACTTTTTGGGCATTTAAATTTGTTTAAAATCCGCTTCGAACTATAGATAGAACAAACTGTGAGCATATGTATGGATGCTATCTTGTAGAGCTTACTTTGCTCTCGAATGGTAGTGTAAAACATATTTGACAAGAAAAATAAGAGATACTGCAGGAAATCGGTGAAGAATTATGGTGCACCTAGTAGTAAGAAATGATTATGTGATAATGCCGCATTTGAGTTTTTGCCCCACTCAGACAATCAAAGGCTCTCAGCCGGCCCCACCAAAAGCTCCGAGCAAGCCGCCGTTGCCTTATTGCCTCACTGTCGCTTCCCGCTGAGAGCTTTGCTAGAACTGGCAGCAAGCGGGCTGCCATAAAGTCTTCAGTGCGAAGAGAAATTGGCGGCGATAAGGCATGGTCGCCACTTTCGCTTTGCGCTGAAGACTTTATAGCAGCCCGCTCGCTGCCAGTTCTAGCAAAGTTTCTCAGCGGGAAGCGACGTGAGGCAATAAGGCAACGACGGCTTGCTCGGAGCTTTTGGTGGGGCCGGCTGAGAGCCTTTGATTGTCTGAATAGTAAACAACTAGAACTCGTTCAGCAGCGATGGGCAAATAAGAAGGGCACATTTGGAATCAGCGTTCCATGCCCTCCAGGAAAATGTGCCTTTCATATTAAAAGCTTTCTTCAATTGAGTATCCATCCCGTATTTTAAAGCGACTATACTTGGGTAATTCGAAAATTTTTCATCGAATGAATGAATATCGAATAGATTCGAAAACGATAAATTCGAAAATAAAAAATCTCGAATAAACGAAAATCGAATAAATTCGAGGTTCAAAAATTCTCGAATGAATGAATTCCGAATAAATTCGGAAAATCAAAAATATCAAGTGAATGAATATCGAATATATTCGAACATTGGAAGTCGAATTTCGAATAAATATTCGAATAATTTATCGAGTAACTAGAGCAACCACATCTCAAACTTGCCGACATATCTGGCTAAAGCCGATCCATTCATAATCAGCACCCTTGTATCCCCTTCACCAACTCCTAGCTCAAAATTTTCCAAAAATCGCTGAAATCGAAAAAATAGATTTCGGTTTTAATCAGCATCCTCATTTACCCCCTGTATCAACATAACGTCGTAGCTCGAGATTTTCCAAAAATCGAAAATCGACAAAGTAAATCTTTATTCATAATCAGCATCCTCAATTACCCCCCCCCCCCCGTACCTTCCAACCGAGATTTTCCAGAAATCGACAAAATCGATAAAGTAGATCTTTACTCATAATCAGCGCCCTCACTTACCCCCCTGTACCAACTACTAGCCCCGCAGCTCAAACTTCTCCAGGAATCGATAAAATCGATAAATCAAATTTTTATCCATAATCAGCACCCTCACTTATCCCCTTGTATCAACTCCCAGCGCCGCAGCTCAAACTTCTCCAAAAATCGATGAAGTTGGTCGGTTGGCAACTAGTCTATCTATACATCAGCAAGAAGTCATATTTTACCCGTTACTGGACGATCTAAAAAAGCAGTCGATACAAATTTTGGTCAAAACTTATTCTAGAAGTACAGAATGCAGGGCATTTATCTTTTTAGTAAGTTGTACACGCTAAACATTTGTGGTAAGTTGGCGTTACATTTGAAGACATTTCGTAACTGGCAAATCGCGTACGTCGATCTAAACTGTCTAATCCTCCACTACAACTGCGATTCCTTCACTAAAAAAGCACCAATTCGCAAAAAATCTGTAAGGTAGCGAATAGAGGCAGTTGTGCAATATAACTTATGCGAGCAAGACAGCTCACTAGTGTGGACTTTGCATACCACAAGCATGAGCAATGCAAAGAAAGAAAGGCATTTCAAAACACTTTCGGTATATGAACTCTGAACATGAGCTTGTATTTGATAGCTTCTTTGCTGATTTGGTGCCAATAGCAGTGCGAACAATCTCATTGATCGAAAAAGCATCAATTAAAGTCGCAAGCAGTCGAAAGAATGCGACTCTCCATACAGTTCAGAGGTCAAAACGATTGCAAAAGATGCATTCCCGAATTCTGCGAAAAAAAAACCCGGACGAAGTGAGCTTGATACTCAGCTCTGACTACGGAGTTCATTCGAATACGAATTCGAATAAACATTCGAATAAAACATTCGAATAAAATCTATTCGAAACCCCGTTTTTTGATTATTCGAGTTTTCGAATTCTATTCGAAACCCTGTTTTTTTGATTATTCGAGTTTCGAATTTTATTCGAAACCCCGTTTTCTCAATTATTCGAGTTTCGAATATTATTCGAAAATGGAAGAACTCCAAATATCGAATTTCGAATACGAATATATTCGAATGTTTTATTCGAATGATAGAATTTCTATTCGATTCGGATTCCAAGTATAAAAGCGACTGATATGTAAGTCAACGTTAGGGCCCCGGCAGACTTCACGCGATTTGATCGTCGCGACTGAGTCGCCACGAGACAACTGTTACAACATCATTCCATGCCGATCAACTTGCATTCGGTTGTGATACTTTTCCAGACCGAAATTTTTGAACGTGGAATGAAAATGAATGGAAATCTTGGCGATTAGATCGCGACGACTAGGTCGCGTGAAGACTGACCGGGGCCTTACGCGAAAGATGTCTGAAAACGCTGCCTGCAATTTCCGTTTATTTATAGGTTCAACTGAATAGAGTCGTCGCTGAGCAGTCCATATTGAATGTCGGGTTGCATAAAAGTGTCTTTGAACGTAAACAAAATTGCTCGTGTCAGGGACGGGTATCAGGCATACTAAGTTTTTAAATTTGCTTCATCAGTCATAGTGTCGGCAAACCCAGGTTGCCTCAAAACTTCTTGAAAAACTATTATGAAACAACGACTGTGTGACAAAAACAAAATAAAGTAAAATCGCATTAGCATACGAGACGTGTTTTATACGAAAAAAGTGAAATTTTGCTACGGATGGGCAGATAATTCAGATTTCACAACTGTCATACGATTGAGTTCTTTTCACGCTCAGATGTGACAGCATCTGCATAGGTGGTGGAACACAGGTATAAAATGAATTCAAATAACCACCCTGCTGCAACCCAACGAATTTTCTGCTTTGATTCCTTTTTTCTCCTAGCCGTAAGCTTCAATGGTAAGCCAGCGAGGTGACTTTAGACAATCATCTGGATCAAGATAGCTCATCCTAAGTACTACCAAATCAGCTTTGCTGCCGTTCATACATCGCATCCTTCAGTCTAGCTCGTGTTTTCCAGAGCTCTCATCAACACCGCGACCTCATATTCTTATTCTGTAAATATACGATGTCCGAAAAAGCATCAGTTATCTGATCTTCAACAACTCTCTTGTATGAAGAGCTTTCGCTGCCATTGAAGCGCAATCTTATGGAACTGGCTTCAGTTTAGATTTATAGTTCCTTGATCTTTTTGAGTCATCAAGGGTCTTATTTTGCCTTGAAAGAAAAACGAAAAAAATAAAAATACTTTTACACTTGACTCATTAGAGTCGCAGACTCTGAGGTTGAAGTTTGCACTTTACTATAATGCATATGGTAGGTCATATTAGTAGCTTATGACATGGACAAGCCTATTAGAAAACGATTAATTCCTGCTAAGATGTCTTCGTTCAAGATTAATCTAAGGAATTATCTACAGTCACGCGATGAGATTGTTACTAACACGGGTTTAAGTGGTACTATCTGAATTTTGCGGTTTTGTGTTGATGATACTTGTTTGTTTTCCATGTGTTCTTTTTATGATTTGCCATAGGAGTAACCTATAACCCTATGTAGTAAGTGAAATGAAATGAAATATAGGCATTGCGAACAATGGGCTTCTTAGGTAGGCGCTATACTCCTCGAGGAGTATAGCATGGCGACGATCGATACGCATCAAATACATGTAAAACCGGCGATTTCTGTCGCCGATATTGGCGATCGCCAATCGTACGACTGGCGATCGCCCGTCGCCGATATTAGCGATTGGCGACTGCCAGTTTTCGCCGACTACAAGTTTGATACGTATCGATTTGACGTGTGGTAACCTGCTTGGCGATTGGCGATCGCCAATATCGGCGACAAAAATCGCCGTTTTTACACGTATTTTATGCATATCGCCCGTCGCCATGTACTCCTCAAGGAATATAGCGCCTGCCTCAGCGATCCTTAAAAATGCGATTACATCAATCAGAAACCCTAAAAGCATGTACAAGATGCATTGCATTTCTAAGTCAAAGCCAGCTCTACAATATGGTGTGTGAGTGACCGCGCGAAAACTTTCATACATGGGATTCGTCAAAGATCAAACGTTCGATACATTTTTTTGGGATATCGTATTACACCGTATATAATGTTCTACAATCATCCATCTGAAATTATCTAATTTTATTGATTTTTCAACAAAGTATTAGGTTGACGCAAAAGTAATGGCCGATTTTCCAAGCTTTTTTTCAGGGCAACTTTTTTCCATCAGTACTTCTTCTTTGCAGTAGAAATGGTATACCATCACGAAGCTGTTTTCATGCTCCATCCAATGGTGCTTAAAACGGGCTCTCATTCTCATCTCTTATAAAGTTACTGAGCTGCAAATAACCGCATCCGAATTCGAATTTCATTGCATTCACTTTTCCGACCAGAATTCAAGCGCGTATTAATGGGAATTCTTCGAAAATTTAGTTATTGGATGTAATAGAAATTGTCTACATTATGCATACATAATTGTATTCTTTGAAGTTATTCAGGCTGAGATATCGGCGCCTAAACATGGGTAGCTGTTGCGGTCATTTCATGACCCATAATTTTCTTCTGAGGAAGTCAGTCGCAAGCTTTGCTCAATTCTGTAAGCGTAGGGCTAGGACATTCATTAGCAGTTTTTGCAAAAACATCCAGCTGTTCAGTACGTAGAAAATCAGAAAATTCTATATTCCGGACTTTGAGACACAGTGAAAAAATGTTGAAAAAACTGAGAAATTTTAAATTTTCAATTTTTCTTTCTTATTGCAAACTTTTTTGTCCGAATTCTTTTTATTGTATTTGGTATTACTAGTTTGCGGCTACAAGATAGGCCACTTATCATTCATACTAAGAAACTTTGAAGGAAGTTATGAATTGTCAAATACAAGGTTCTAGCAGAAGAACTTTTTTTGTCTTTTAATCCGTATTTCTCTTCCCGTTTATGGTTTGAGTATAAATGAGCATGCGTTGTATTGCGGAGGGTTTGCTGCTTCTGAGGGTCTTTACCGCATTCAGAAATATGGATCCTTTAAAAAGTTATAGCACGTCAAAGTGAGAATTCGCAAATCGGCCATTACTTTTGCATCATCCTAATATTAGTGCCTTTTTTACGTGAGTGAGGGAAAATCCATACTTTGTGCTGCAAAAGCAATCACTTAAAACGTTGTGCGAAAAATTTTCCTTGTTTGTACCATATTATTAGAGATTAGCTTTCTCTTACACCTAGACAGCGGAACTAGACTTAGGTTGCGTGCAGATTTGGCCACCACTTGTAGGAGAATACTAGGCTGCTGCATAAATTTTGTCTTTTTTAGGCTTTGCATTCGAAATAGCTGTCTTATAAGATTTTCGCATTTAGCGCAGTAGATTTGAGCCGTTAAAAAAGTGGTTTTGGCTTTTCTAACTCAAATCAGATTTCAAGAGAGTCTTCACAATGACGAGATTGGCCCTTGAGAACAGTGGCAGAGATACGGTCTCTCTTATGGAAAATGTTCTGCAAATAAACCTCTACGGTGAGCCTGCCAAATCATGCTTATCACCGATTAAAAAGCTGCTTTTCAAAGAAGTTGTGATAGCTACTTTCTAGAACAATCGCACAGAACTTATACAGCAAGCTAATATATGAAATTTGTGGAGAACGCGATGAAAACTACTTTTCTGTTAGTATTTAGTAAGCGAAAATAATTACTCTCAACTCATCAGCTGAAAACTAGTATATAGAGTGATGCGATATGAATTGAGCTACTGCATAATTAGTTATGAACTTTTCAGAGTATTAACGACAATTTGTAAAAAGTCGTAACGCAATGAAAAGTGAAAATCAGCAAAAACACCAAAGGCTTCTCAAAGCTTAACATGCCTTTACACCGCGCCGGCAGCCACCGCTAGCCGTCTTTAGCTGTTGCGAACTACCCAGAATCATAAGGTGTTTCCGGAATGTAAGATTATGGTATTCGTGATCAGCATGTCGAATAACCCCATTAGCCCAAGTTGAGCAAGATCATGGAGCCCGAATACTGGGATAGTGTGGGTACAGTCCGTTAGCGAAGGCTGCTGGCACGGTATTAAGGCATTCCAACCTTAGTGAGTCACCTATCAACTGTTTATGCCTTCGCACGCACAAGGCAAGACTACGACTTACTCACTCGGCATCACTATTCTCTTTGTTTGTAAACAAGCGCTAAACAACAGCTCGTTGACCGAACAATCACTAAGTGTAAGAATCTCACGTCGCGCATCAACGAATCAGGCGAGGATGCAAGGTCATTTCTCTACCGCATGAAACGTAATAATAACCAAAGCAAACCACTATATAAAGCGGAGCGACAAAAAAAACACAGCGCATGGCATGCTTGGTCCTTGGTTCTTTCCGCTTTTTGGATTGGTTCAGCTTATTTTGTTTCAGATCATGCGAAGCCTTCTTTTGCTTATTTTGATAGCTGTCTGTATTAGCAGTGTCGCTGCTCAGTGGGGCATGAGTCCTTACGGAGGAATGCGTGGTGAGTAGAACTGAGATTTCTTGCAGTGTTATCAAAAACAGTGCTATTCCTAGGACCTTATGGATATGGCGGAGGAATGTACGGTCGTCAACGTTACGGTGGCTATGGCATGCGCAGGCCATATGGTGGTGGCTTTGGCGGAAACCCCATGATGGGTTTGATGAGGGGAATGATGATTGGTTAATGTGGATCTCATGATGTACATAAATCTCCTCTTTTCTAAACTTTATCGAAGAGTATTCGATGTTAATATCATGCAAGATGAATGCATCATTTGGCCAACAATCCATTATTTGAAGTTACTGCTCTCAAACAAATTCAAAATGCGGTAACCTTCCATTGAAAGTATTCGCGTGTTAACGTATCCAGTCTGCGCATCCTAGATGAACTCATCAATGCTTGCTAGCATCTATCTTTTAACAAGAATTGTTAAGACTGATGGAAAATTCCCTGGTTACACTTGGTTTCAAGAAAAACAGTTCCTTCGTGGTAAATGTTTTTGGAAAAGAGTTCCACATCAGTTTTTGTAAGTGTCTATACAAAGAGTGTCAAAGATAGATAACATGCGAAGTGCTTTGGACACGTCCCAGTTGATTATCACTTCCTTTAACAATGAGTTAAGTTCAAACCATATAGATAGTATGGCAGAAGCGTCTTTTTCGTTTTTCAGAAAAGAGTGTGAACAATGCTGAAGTAACGCAGTCTGGGATAGTATTATATACGAATACGTTTGCGTCAAAAGTATTATCTCCAGTACTGAATGGTGTTTCGAGAGCACAAGGTCTCGTGAGAAACGACTAGAATCGTTTCAACTTCGCTCAATTATTTGTTTTTACCTTGTTTGTGCCACAACCTCAGAGTTCGGCACAGCTGGAACCGCTCAAGCTGGATATCCTCTATTCTGAGCAAAGGCAAAGGGTATATTGTCCTTGCGGGATCAGGAGCGGAGAAGAGCCGCAAGCATGCCGCAGACACGCCGCCGGCATGCAAGCGACATGCTATCCCAAGACGAAAGCTTGTTTAGATAAAACCAAATCGTAATAACACGACACCAAACTTTGCATACGCTTGCGCGTGGGGGGCTCGAACTATAGTCTAAAAATTTTTGAAAGCTTATGTGAATGATGCTGGGTTCATCTAACAAGGGAATGGTCAGAAGTCGAAGTGGCCAATCCATACAAGCTGCATACCATTCGATGCAGCATAGAATGCTGATTTCAAATCTGTCTTCCATATCTGCAGAGCGCCTTTGTGGACGAAGTTATGAGCAGCTTTACTGCGAAAAAATTGTATACAAAAATTGCCAAATTAAGCACATTATTGCTCTTTCAGCTCACCTCTAGGCATGGGTCATATGAAGAGAACTAGTTGCATGTTTTGACCCAACATTGAGCCGAGAATGGCTTTGTACGGCAAAGTTTGCACTTTACACGCACAATTTCTTAGCAAAATAATGGCCTTCAACGGCTTATAACTTCCTCCACAAAAGCGCTCTGCAGATAAGAAAGACAGATTTAGAATCAGCGTTTCATGCTGCATCTAATGGTACGCAGCTTGTACGTATTGGCCACTTCGACTTCTGACCATTCCCTTGTAAGCTGAAAACCGACCCTTCACCCACATATACAACATATAGACTGCTGCATGACGAAAGCGCAATAACTTCGGGCGCGAATGCAGCTTCATTAGCCGCGGAGTGCATGAGGCACAGGAGCTACAATGGTAAAGATACGCGCGCGCTGCGTTCGCGTCCGCTCAAGTAATACTGCTTCTGCGCCTTCGTTCTGCAGTGACCTTTAATTTATCATACTTTCTTACATATGCCCTTCACTTCAAAAGTTCTCAAACGAGAAAACGGTTTCATAATCCCTCAGCTTTTTTAGCCCTGCAAATTCTCAATGGCGTCGCTTCGGTCGTAAAGCGCGCCAGTAAGCAAAGAAGACAGTAAGTAGGACACGTGATTATTTCACTTTTGCTGGGCGCTCTTTGTCCATCACGCCTGTCTTTGTCTTTCTCTTTCTTTCTTATGTTATCCACTCATCCTTTCATTCGCAGTGGATGGGAGGGGGGGAGGGGCGACGTGGAGGAGAGGTGGAGGGTTTTTAGGCGTTATTTTGTCATCGGTTTTTTGCTATTCATTCTGGGCACTAAGTCCAGATACGAAAAAAACATGTAGAGAGGATTGAGGAGCCTGTGGAACTCTCAAACGGGACTTCGTAAAGTTTTTGGAGACCCAAAAAGAATTTGTTTTAAAAGTGCGGTTCCAGCCTGTGCAGAACTCTGCTTGGGCTCACTGGAAGTCATTTGGCAAAGGCACAGAACTGATATCTGACGTAGATTCTGAGGTCCCAAGGTAAATTCGTGAAGAGGAGTTGGTCGCATAGGGTCGCTTTCTATGTCGAGATAGGTCCTTTTCAGGATTTGCTCTGTGTATAGTATGTTTAATAAGTCAACCCGAGGTAGATTTTACCTCAAAGTTTGTTGGTTTTCACGGTTTAAGATTGAAGAGTCGCGGGGCTAGTGCAAGATAATCTCTAGACTTCCAAGGCGCTATGATGTTACAGGGTGAAAGGAAGCTCCGTTTTGACATATCCTAATCGGCAACTTTTGTATGAGCGTGCGTTTGGTGACGCTTCTTATAGTGAGCCGAAAGATTTGTATCAAAAAAGGTTCTCTGTGGAGCATACATCATTTCTCCTTCTCCTACCAGATCATTTAGTAGAGACCAACACTTGGAATATCAGATCATCGCAAAAGTTTATGAGCTTTTTTTTGAATCTGAGGGTGTTTCATGTAATAGGTACACAGGAAATCTCCAATGTTTCTAGTCGTCATTTTCACCCTATCGAACCTTACCTGGTCTCCAAAATTTAGATCATGAGACTCATGAAAGCACAATCCTTTTTCGTGTCCTCCCAGCTAGTTTTTCAATATTTTCAAAAATTTTGGGTTGCACCAGACTGATATTGAAGCTGAAAACCACATACAATCTGAGAGGTCTTTTTCTAATTTTCATTCGCTTATTTTTGCTCTCGTAGAAGTGAGTTCATCTCAATACTCGGCGCCTTCAAATGCAAAAACCAAATCTTGAAATTCTTCCCTCTTGCCAGGGCTCGGCACGAGGTGGCTTTCAGAAACTGCAAAAAAACGAGATCCCCCTTTACTTCACAATGAAACTACGGCATCCGCCACGGGAATTGGTAGAGAAAACACACGAAAAGGATTGCAACAAAACAAAACAAAAAAGAACGCCAAAAACGGCCACCTCAGGTGACTTCCAGGTGGCTTGAAAGCCACCTGACTGCGAAGAAAGTTGAGCACACCTTCAGCTCATATAATTTTTGGTAATTTTGCACGCTTAGTCCTAACTCCCCATTGCCCATCTACACACCTATTTTAGTGTCATTTCATCTCCACTTTGCTCTAAACAAGCCCTCTGCATGTTTGGGAGAGCATCCTGCCGGCATGCCGGCGGAGTGTCGGCGACAGATCGAAAGACAGTGGTATCTATGCTCTTCCGCAAAAACGATATCACCTTTGCTTTTTCCCCTAAAAACTATATTCAGCTTGCTTATAAGCCACCTGCGCCGTGCCCTGCTCTTACCTTGCTCTCAATCCACCGGGAATATCGAGAGTTTGTGCAAGTGCAAATGTTCATGAGAAATGCAACAAAACTCACAAGAACGAGACTTCCAGAAATTCTAAGTGAGATTTCATCGCGTACCTGGACTTTTCGGCCTTGGTCTTTCTGTGTGTAAGAATCTTGACCTCTAAGCTGCAAAAGGAACAACAACTGCAGCAAGGAAACATTGAGCTGTCTAGTAGTGAAGGAATCTTTGAAAATCAGAAGAAAAAGGTTTTTTTCCTGGAAAATGTTTGAAGGTACACATTGTCTCAATCTCGAAAGGCGTTCACTCTGAACGAAATTCTCCCAATACTATCTTAACGAAAGGATTTCAGTACACAGAAGCTTAGCGCTCCTGCAGACCCACTAGCCTGCACACCGATGGCATTTCTGCTAATCTTTTACAGTCAGAGGAGTGCAATAAAACTTCTGGTAATTCTCAAACTAAACTTCTGGTAATACTTGGGCTATATAATCTTTCTCGGTGATGACAGTAACATAATGAGCAGTACGGATTGCCAGAGGTTCGCTGATTGTATTAGAATTTTTGTGCACTCGAAGGTGCAGTCATCCGAATTTGAAATGTGAAGAAGGTGCATTGATTTTTTTTCTAGTTCAATAATTTTCCTCAAATGGTGAATTTTTGAGACATTGCGTGACATTTGCATCAAACGCTGTGAAATCTTCAAAATACGAAGTTTCCATTCAATCGCTGAACACAGGTCTAACAAAGTATACGAGCGAACAATGCAGTGATAGATGAGATTCAGCTATCACGGCACGGCACAGGTGGCTTACCAAGCAAGCTGGATATCGTTTTTGGGTAAGAGCATACCGGTGTCTTTCGATCTGCCGCAGGCACGCTGCCGGTATATCGGCAGCATGCTCTCCCAAACAAACGAAGGGCTTGTTTACAGCGAAGAGGAGATGAAATGGTATCAAAATAGGTGTGGATGGGCAAGGGTGAGTTAAGATAAGTATGAAAAATTATGAAAAACTTATGTGAACTGAAGGCGGGCTCAACTTTTTTCGGAGTTAGGTGGCTTCTTGGGAAAGAAAAAGTCATAAATTTTTCCTCCCTCATATAATTTTCTACTTTCTTTACATAAATTTCATCTACATCCCGAACCCTACAAGAAATCGCCTCAACCCCCCTACCTCCCCGCTTGGTTACAGCCCTTTGAAAGTTTCGAATGGCGACGGTAACGCTGCTCCAGGCGCGTATGTAGTGCTGCTCGCTGGACACATTATGCCACCAATCCGGAGAATACGAATTTTATCGCGTTTATTTTATGCTTTTTTGGCGTTTTTTCCATTTGTTCCGCTCCTTTTCGTGTGTTTTCTCTTCTAATATCTCATGACGGATGGTACTTTCATAGTCAAGTCAAAAGGGATTTCGTTTTTTGCAATTTTAGGGAGCCACCTCGTGCCGAGCCCTGTCAACAATTTCGAGTGCTACCGTAAGCACCTATAGCGCAATGGCTGTCTGATAATTTCGCAAGAAAATTAGAAAGCGGATAGTAAGTTGCATCGAATGGTACCTAAATTGAATGTCGACTGATGTTCTTAAGGCTTGATTGGACCGAATTAGAAAAATAGCAAAAAATAAAAAAAAATATTAGGTTAGCCCGAAAATTCTGTCGTACCATTTTCAAAAATTCATGACTTCGGAGTACCCAAGCAATTTGTTTGCATTCATTTTTATTTGAAAAAGCAAATCGGCCTCTTCATAGCGTTGTTTTGGCGGCTTCATAATGGGCATACACTGCGTAGACAGAGGCGGTAGAAAATTAGTCGATTTTGAATTTTCTGTGTAGGGTCATAAAAATTCTAAAACTTGCAGTAAAAATGGGGGCTGTTAATATTAGAAGTTCTATTACCTACTCTTTCTGACTGTGCAAGGACTGTGCTGATTGAAAGTCTCTATAAAAAGTTATGATGTTTGAGCAGGCAATACAAAAGGTCGAATTTGATTTAATGTGGCATTTTTCTCGAAAATCAACTTCTCATAGAGACCCTCGATCAGCACAAACACCGCTAAGACGTCCCATTGCACGGTTAGAAAGAGCTGGTAGTAAACCCATAATACCGACTGCTTTTTTACTACAAGTTCTAAATTTTTCATGACACTACATAGAAAATTCAGAATTTGACTAATTTTCTTTTATTGCCCTTTGCAATGTATGCCCATCAGGAAGCCGCTAAGACGTCCCTATGAAGGAAACGATTATCTCTTTCAAACAGAAATGAATGCAAGCAAATTGATTGGGAAACTCAGAGTTATGAATTATAGTAGATGGTGCGACAGAAATTTCGGGCCAACTTAAAGGCAGCGTCCAGGCAGATCTGGACCTATGGGGCTTTTACGTGGAAAGTACTTTTGGGACCCTAACTATGCCCAAGCGGCAACTCAGGTACTGCTCTAATGGCTGAGATATTCCCCTCGAAACTGGCCCCCGCAAACGTATTCGCATGCATTCATGGCAGTTTCGCATCAGGATCCACGCTTTGCGCCATGAATCTATGCGAAACACGGTCGCAGGGTCCAGTTTCGAGGGGAATATCTCAGGCGTTAGGGCACTACCTGAGCTGCCGGTTGGGCAGTGGCTTAGTTAGGGCCCCAAAAGTACTTTCCACGTAAAATCCCCATAGGTCCAGACTTGCCTGGACGCTGCCTTTAATAATAACTCAGGCCAAATGCAAATTGCCTCTTTCTTATGAAACCTATTTTGCAAGTTGAAAAAAAAACGTGAAACAAAAGGCTAGACAAGGTAGAAATAAAAAGCAGGACTATCTGGGTGAAGAGGTCTAACTCCGAAAACTCACAATCAGTTGCTAATTTGTAGTAGCTGTGTATCTCTATTCTAGGGTTCTTGGGTAGCTTCAAAATGGCTCAGAGCTTGGCGCCGACAAAGTATAAAGCCGAGTTGGAGTGGTGCTTGATCACTCCATTGAAATGCCGAACGAGAGAAAGTAGAAAACAGTTTTGTTTATACGACGTTTGTCGAAGATGCAGACATGTTTTATCGCTGAAGGCTTTGCCTAGAAAGGTTTAAAATATTCTACACACCTTCTTCTCTCGCACGTGTTTATTTCTTGTTGTGAACGTCCTTGTTTGTAAGCAAAGGCTTGTTAGCAAGCACATTATTTACAAAACAAAGGCTGGGTTGACCCAAGCGCCTAGCTGTGATGACGACGCTAGCATGGTCCAAGGCCACCTCTTGTCTTACGAGAACACAATGCCCGTGACACGCTGCTAAGTTTTACGATATTAAACACATGAGCTACTATATAAACCACTACCGAACCAAGACTTCACACTTCCTCTTCATTTCACTTCAACTTCAAGAATTTAGTACAATAACCTAAGCCATTTCAGAACATGCAAAGTCTTTGCCTCCTGCTCTTGATAGCCGTCTGTATCGCAAGTGTTGCCGCTCAGTGGGGAATGAGCCCCTATGGAGGTATGGGAATGGGTGGACCAGGTAAGCGAATCTTATATTTTGGGTACAATTGCCATCTACGAATTTCTTGCAGTCGGACCTTTCGGAGGAAGACCCTACGCCCGATTGCGAGCTATGCAAATGTACGGGGGCAACCCATACGGTGGTTTTGGCGGTCCTATGGGAGGCATGGGCATGATGAGGCCCCCTTTCTTTGGTTGATGTGGATCTCCTTGTACATAACATTCTATTGCTCAATTATTTCAATTTTCGTAATGATAACGTGTATAAAATTCTAAGTCTATGTTCTACGTCTCAGAATGCTTCGCGGAGAAAAAGTTAGAGGAAGCCCAATTCAAGCGCTTTAGTTGATTTTCACTTCACAAACTCCGTAATGATCGGTATAAGAGAATGGATCAATCTTGAACAAACCGAAACTATACCCGAAAAGGGTTTCAGCGCATGGCAAAACTTCCATACAGTAAACTCAACCTTACGCTCATTAATCACGACTATACAATACCGCTCGTGAAAAAAAAAATCACCGCACTCCGTTAAAGTTGCGGAACTTCGCGTCAGATCAGCATATCTTGCTTCTCACGAATTTTAAATTGAAGGCACCATTCGACTCAGGTCGACAAGGTGCATCTGATTTGTATTAGATTGGCTCAAAGTTCTCGGACATTTTCAGACTAAACCACTACTTCTCGAAACCTAGTGCATGTATATCCGATAGTTATCCATTCGATGCAAAGCAAGCTTTACAAGATGGTCCGCAAAAGTTCGCATCAGCTTCGAACCACCGTAAGTTTGTATCCAGAATGTGAGCCGTACTGAAGGCTCTAAAAATAAGGAAAAATTCATATCTTCGTTCAAAAGCTTTTACTGATCTCAAAATTACCCGCGCAAATCGCACACTACATCAGACACTCATATATATGTACCGTTCCTGTATCTCCTCATTTGGAACTCGAAAAAAAAAAGATAGATCTCATGCTTATACAAAAGCCCTTAAAAGTATAACCGTAAATTTTCAGCCTTCTACAGGCCCTAGTTTCCAAAATTTACCGAATTAGCTCTCCTCTCTCGGGTGTTCCATGCTAAAATCAATATTTTTCGAAAACGAGGGCTTGGGGAAAGCTAAAACTTTACGGTTATACTTCTAAAGGCTTGTTCTATACAATTACATTAGTAAAAACAACACAGCTTCGTTTTTATATAAGCCTGAAAATCTTCGCTTTCTCGATTTTTATATGGGGAAAAATACAGGAACGGCACTTATGAGTGTCTGTTATGGTGTGCATTTTGCATGGTTTTTTTTTGAACTTTTCGAGCCTTCACTACGACTCAATCGACTCAGTAGATTTTGGATGCAAACTTACGGTGTGTCGAAGCTGGTACGAACTTCTGATACCATCTTGTAGAGCTTGCCTTGCTCTATCAAATGGTATCTCTATCCGATGTACATGCACTAGGTCTCGAGAAATAGCAGATCTAGTCTGGAAATGTCCGAGAACTTTGATCCAACCTAACAGAAGTGCCTGAGTGCCTGTCTGGACACGGTTGTCAATCAGATTTCACGAATCTTTCCATATTTTTGCAAAGAATAGATTACTCAGATGATTCACAACGACCGACTATCCTTTTCGGAGTTGATTTAAATGGTGTTCTTAAAATTCGAGCACTCTGATAAGATATGGCGATGCGACCCGACGATCGCGAGCTCCTGCAGGGTGTGGTGATTTTTTCCTAAATTAGAAGCAGTATTGTAATTACAAAGAAGACTATATAGCTTTACTCAAAGATACGAGGAAGGCGAGTCGTTTGATTACACCATTCAGATCTCTTAGGAAAAGGGAAAGCATGACTGTTCTCATACACTGACGGTTGCATACAAATTTTCTGCAGACGACAACAGAATTCTTTCCATTCCTGTCTCAAAGAAGTATAAGTTATGAGCATTTCCTTCTAATTAGACGAAACTGAGTAAAAATGAAAGGAAGCATATCATGTTTTACGACCGAAAGGATATGCTTCTGCTTGGCAGATTTCGAAATAAGTTCTTCATAACCTTCACATTAGGTTGTCCCGAATGTTTTGTTCTTTAATACGAGGTTCTGTAGTCCTAGAACGACTACAAAACTTCTTACAATAGTGGCTCAAATGGATTTAAACATGCATTAACACAACTTTCCTTCTCTTTCTGCGGGTCACTTTCTCGAACCAGAAGCTCCTAAACGCTTTTTGATAGCTGCCAAATTCTTCATCCGTTATCTCTGTTTGCTCAAAGTTTGGCTAATTTTTGAAAATTTCATGATTTATGTTTCTCAAATCAATATGTAGCCAAAGGCTTACCCTATGTAATAGCTATCAGGCTTCTTCAAAAATTCAGGGCAATTTTTAAGGAATAGAAATTTGGCCTTCAAAATGCTCAAAAGCTCGGCCGATAACATCGCAGGGACTGCGTAATAAGAGAAAAAGTAAATAGCATCCCAAAGAGGATAAAAATCTGAATTAAATATCAAATAATAAGTCTTTCGTCGATCAGTGATCCCCGAGTTTTCGTGACTAATCAAAAAACTGACAAAACTTTCAGGACGACCTAATACTTTATTGGAATTCTCTTTCGCTTTTCACTTCCTCAAACAGAGCTACTATGATATTTCATGGCGGATCAGCGACGAGGTGCAAAGTTTATTAGCTGCTCATTAAAGTGTCCCATGATTTTTGCCGTTTTTGCTATAACCTTCGTATTTTTGTATCTTTTGTTCAACTGATTTGAACTAAGTAATCATTCGACAGGGCAAAGCATGCTCTACAAGACAGCTATCAAGAGTTTGCCCGAATCGTATTCCACGTGAAGTTTTGAGCTGAAATCTAGTAGCACAAAAACGAACTTTACCGTCAAAAATCAAATTTCTGCCCCAAACAATCTTGAAAATTCCTAATTTATTCTAGCTTATGCTTGCCACACCGATTATTCGATTGTACACTTTCCCCTTTTTCCATGTCTAGAACGAAAGAAAAAATAGACAGAATAAAATGGCAAATTCCGCCCCGAGAGGTCCTGAGCTCTGCCCACGCACGTTATCATATTGCTCATACATACAGAAGTACGATCATGTATATGTGCCCGTTGTAGGTGTCCCAATTCTCCAGGAATGCTGATGCTTAGGCTAACAACGGTAAAAAAATAATGGGACACCCTATAAATACCAAAACCTCTTTTCTGGCGTAAATTGCCGCGGATTTTCAACTACTTTGGAGATCAGTAAAGTAGGTAATCTGTTTAGAGTGTAAACCAGATGCTTTCGCAACAGAGTTGCAATAAAATGACCAAAATTGAGGAATTTCCATTCTGAGAGATATTACCGTTCGTATATGACAGCGTTTCGCGCAGCTCAAAGGCACCGTCCTCTCTAAGTCAGGATATTGAGCTTTTGGCAGCTTACGATAGTAAGAACCCTTATCAAGCGAAATCCAGCTTCGAAAGCGAGAAAATCGCTTCGGAATAGCAAAGAGACATGAGGACCTCCGAGTCGGCACCGGCCCTCCAGAGATGCCCGCCCATCCGTGCGCGGCCATCCAATCACCGTTCCGGAGAACGGCCGAGGGTTCTCCGGAACGAGAATTGTCTGGATTTTCGCGGATTCTCGACTTCATAACCGGAATCAGGGACACAAGAAGGCCCCGGAATGACCAAAACATGGAATTTGGGAATATGGGTGGACAGATCATGCCATTGAAGGACGAGATCAATCACGGGCGTCAAATTTTGAAGTATGAAATCATAATTCTTTCACATTGCAAAGCGTTTCCTTTATGCAGGTTGACTCGCGACGAATTTTGAAGTTTTACTTCACTCGCATACCCCCATACCCCCCCCTTCCCTCCCCCCGCGCAGTGACCTCTCACTATGACACATTCTTCGCATGAAATCGGTCGTGTTTGAACGAACAAAAAAGCCCGTGACAACCTTGAAGGAAAGGACGACTCACACTGTCCTTTGGATTTGTTCTATTTTTTACCGATTCATTTGTTTCCTTTTTGCTCATGGGACATTTTTTTTGAAGATTAGTAACGCAGCCTAGGCGTGAATAATGTCTTATGTGAACATTTGCTAAAGTATCTACACGAGACTGTAGCTATATACGGCTGCGATCTACAGACAATTTGAGGCTTTGATTTCAATTTTTTGAGTGGGGGGGGGAGAGAATTCAAGGGCAGCCTTCGAAAAATAAATGCAAATTTGTTGCAAGCTTGTGACATGAATTTTTCGGAGCTAATTTCATTGACACAAAAAATATAGAGTTGCTTCGGATTTACAAAAAAAAACAATTTAGTAACAGCATGCTTTCGTATCTTACTTTTGACCACTGCCAAGAATTCTAGTCCTACGCTGTGCTCGCATTATTTTCGTACTGACAAAGTCTTGAGAACTGTTTCCAAGAATAAGCTCGAAAAAATTCTTCGTAAGCATTTTTTAAATTGGATTCACAATCAATATATCCTTCAACCCATTGTTAGTAGTCAAAGATTATTATAGCCATGAACAATTTAGATTATTGGTTTTATTGCAACTTACATCTAGAAAATTCTTATTGTTATACAGGCTAACTCGCAAGCTGCGGAGTATCACTACTATAACAGCGGGGACATACTGCCTTGGAAGTGAATTTCTTCAGATGTTTTTTCAAGTTCTCTTTTCGCATTTTCTTTATTGGTATTTTTATTCTTTGAAAAGAATAGCAGGTGAACCCAGTGGGAAGACCTTTTCGCTTACACAAAAGTTACAATGGAGCGAGCACAGTCGAATGGACATATTCCAAGGTTTTTTTCGATTCATTTTAGCTGGAAATATCTATTTTTGACATCAAAATGATACCCAATTTGAGATTCTTGCATTCTGGAATGAACGTCGAAAAATGCGCAAATCTTTCTAATCTCAATGGTAGATATGTATTCATCGTGTATAATACGAGCAGCAAACTATTATATACATAGAAATCTTTGGAAAAAAAACCGAAATGAATCACTATCAAGTGAAATTTCCTGTCGACGAAGAGGATGATAAACAAAATGATTACAAAGAGGCAGATGAAAATGCTTACTAGCTCTTACTAACAATATAATTATTGAAATAAAGTGTTCCCTTGAGGACAAGGATATGAGGTAAGTAGCAGCGGCGGACCGAGGAGGGGGCGAGGAGGGGGGAGGGCCTAGAACGGGACGCGAAAGTTTCGAAATTTACTTACATGGGTTATAAAATCAAACTCTTGTAAACAATCAAGATGGTTTTTTTTTAATTTTTAAAAAAATCAGATTAGCCTATCAAAAAATTCTTTGGGAAGCGTAGCTACAGCCACGCCTTTTTTTCTAGATTTCAGTGGTTCTGAACCCGCAGAACAGACGCACCCCAAAAAATCTTTTGGAGTGGGTGGCTAAGGCCACGCACCTTCATTTGAGAAAAAAATTTTGCAGGCCCACCTTCCCCTGGACAGAAACCCTGCGACCGGCAGTGTATGTAGTTATCTTCACTGATGGACGAAGTGTATGCTAGTAAGTGCCTTGGTTGTCATCAGTACAATATCATTGAATTATTCCCTTTACATAGCAATCAGGATTTTTATTCAAGTGCTAAATATTTCTCGTTAAAGATATAACGGCCTGGTTATGTATAATAAATACAAACATCTGCAAAATGAGGTTATTATATGGATTGGCGACCAGCGTCTTATAGCGATTTTATTAGTGGTTCAGCTGAATGATATTTTGGAAAAATATAAACTCACAATCAATTATTATGAAAAGAATCAGCCAAATAGTTGCACGCCATTTTTGGAGAAATGTAGGCCGTAAATAAATTCAAGTCTCAAATAGTAACAGGAACGGCCTTTGACCTTCTCTCAAAGGCCTTCATCTTCTTCTTGTGAGCTTAGTGAATTTTGGTGATATTTGATTCGTTGTCAGCAACTTAGGGATTCGCAAACTTTTGGAATCTCTGAAGTCAATTCCTTGCATCGCAGAGGCACAAAGTCAATATTTTCTCTGCTCCCCAACAAACTATGATTGTCCCGAGCTTTTGAAGCAGCTATTATTTTGTGAAATCAAATTCAAAACGCTTGACTAAACACACTAGGACTGAACGAATGCGTTCATTATGGGAAAAAGTTCGAACTAATTGTGTTTAATTTGATTTCGAAATCTGAGCGATTCTTACACTTATCATCTATTCTACGACTAGGAGACGCGAGATCGCACTGCGGACATCGTCTTGACAAGTTTGAGTTTGTTCTTCCCTGTTTTCTGAGAATGAATAAACCTTGGCGAGATAAATAACAGGTATAAACCTGCTAAGAACACGATTAGGCTTGTTTAGACACTGTGTGCAGTGCGGTCTCACTTCTCCTAATCCTAGAATGAATGATACATATGAAAACGTCAAGGTTACAAGGGAAAAACATTTCAAATTCTTATTATCCTACTGTAAGCAGTTGAGTGTGCAAATCGAATTTCCTGCGCCGAATTCGACGCCTGGTTTTTCGGTCATCTGGCGTTTTTGTTTTCGTTGAAAAAGCTCTGCTATCGCTGGCTGTTTTGCCTCGGGCACTGTTTAGTTTCTGCTTAATACTAATTTAGACCTAACAGAACTCAATGCCGGTGCGCAGGCGTGCGTGTGTCCGCGCGCGGGGCCGCGAATCGGCGGCGTTCGCGAGCGCTTCCGGCTTCCATTCGATTGGCTGGGGTTGTTTTGAGGCTGCACGTGTTGACGCTGTGACTCTTTCCACCCTTCTTCCCTCACCTCTCACTTATTTTCCATTTCCACGTGAACAGATGATAACTGTGTTAGTAATTTTGGAAAAACGCCACTATCGTCGAAATATCTGAAAAAATTGCCTTTTCAGCTAGTCTGCAATTCCGTTGTCTGTTCCTTGTCGTTTTGTTCTGCGTTTTCAGTACTCCATCTCGCTCAAAATCGGTTGCAAACTTCATTCGCTTGTTCTTTTGCTATAGGAAATTCTTTGGTTGAGTTTTCGAATCCTTTCCTTAAACTTGCTGTCGAAATTCTTCGGTTTGTTTCATATCCTTTACTGTGTCAAACAACTCTCGTATTACTAGGGGATGGTTAAACGGGGTAGCGGTCTCTCCCCTCAAAAAGATGTGCGCCGCTCGAGTCGTGAACGTTCCATGGTCTATCGGAGCTTGGCCGAGAATGATCTCGCTGAACATCATCTAAGGGGAAGCTTTATGAAGAGTATCATACGATCGGCAACAGAACAGCTTCATAAGGTAAGTAGCTATTATGTCGCTCTTGACAACTTCATTAAATTAGCTAAATGAGTTGTGTGCCTATTAATTCTGTCTTGCGTTAGAGGTTATGTAGCTTGTTTCTCTGCACTTTTGAAGTTTTGTATGGTAAAATCTCTCTTTTGATGCTTTTTTCAATGTTGGCTTTTCAGGAATTTATAAATGCCCCTGTTGCCGGTTATACGCGCTCTGGCAGAAGAATTGGCGGAAGCGCGCATTACGAAGAGAGTAATACATCCGATGATGAAGAATATGAAAAGCGAAGAAGGCGCCGAAGGTAGGTAGATATCTGCGTAAATGTATGAATTTTGGTTAGAGTCATTTCTAGTTACTGGCTTTTAGATTTGCCAAAGAACGCTTCAATGATGAGAACGTGGATATTCGATCTCCGAGTCCGAAGAGGAGTTTACGGAAACGTAATGCAGATGAAATTGAAGGGAATCGCGAGGTTGTTATTAGTGCCGTTTGAACTTTGCGTTATTCAAAGGCGATTTAGAAAGAACAAAATCAAGAAGATACGGAGCAAAACGCTGAACCTGCTAACATGTACGATACCATCAAACGCGAAAGGAAACAGGCGGGGTGCGCGGCTTCTCCATTGTCCTGAATCATTTTCTTACAATTGCAATCTCTCAATCCTTTAGCACATCACAACCGAATTCACCTCGACTGAGTAACGGTGTCGAATCGGCGCGCAGCCTTCGGCAGGCAAATAGGGAGCGTTTGTCAAATGGAACTGCGAAAGATGATCCACCTGCTGAAGTTGAAGAAAGCCGATCAAGCGAGGATGTAAGTCTTGACTTTGCTAATTGTTTGTTGCTGAAAGCATTCTTTTCTTTTCCAGTCAGATGACGATGAGGAGAAAACCCCGGAACCTCGTCAATATTCATTGAGGAAAGTGCGGCAGCCAGTCGATCGCTTTGCCTCAACTGTCACCATCAGAGATCGCTACAGGTATGTAGCATTTGTTATATGCTTTGATTGCAGTCCAGTATGCGAAGTTCATAGTCATGTACTTTTGTAATCGATGTGGCATAGGGTTTTTCCAAACGTATCATTTTATTCATAGCTTTCATTTTTGTGGTAATGTGCTTGCCTATTAGTGTCCTGGATAGGTCGCCTCAGTGAGTGGTATTTTTATGAGCATTTTTAGTTCTGGCAGCTTTTCTTCATAGCAGTAGGTCTCCATATTCACGTCTAGCATCTTTTTGAATCCTTTGTCATATTGTTTGTTAAGCCGTGTGCGTGTGAGAGATTTCGAAACCAGATACAACGTGCTGATAGTGTGCTTGAACTGAACACCGCTTTGTTGTTGCTATCACGAGCAGCTATCGGTTAGCACATGCCCTTTGCACGGTTCATACCTTTGAGATATAAATTTTTTCATTATGGAAACGACTGGAGTGAAAACATCGTTTAGTAATAGGTTTGTAGCAAAGTGGGGCCCATGGTACGTAATACATACTCCGGATATTTCAGGGTAGTTTTTATTCCATAATAAGTTCTTTCACTGATATCATAGAAAGTACGTTTAATAATAATTTTGCACGAGGATTCGTTCTGCGAATTGTAAATTTTTTGCACTATCGTTACACGCATGCTTTTAGGGTAGACAGAGAACGCAGAAGTCGGGGCAGATCGACTGATCGAAGAGATCGAAAGGCAAAACACGCTGCCAAAAGGTAACATTTTCTTTCTCCTTTCTTACTCCCAAGATGTTTCCGTTTTGAAGACGTCGGCGAGAACTGGGCAGTGATTCTTCTTCGACTTCCTCAAGTGATAGCAGTGATGATCTCATCAGAACTCGCAACGATGACTTACGCTTCGAAAGGCGTAAAGAGAGGAGCATAGCGAAGGCGAGAAATCGTTACCTGCCTATCAATCTGACTGGTGAGTCTGATCTTTCTTGTCGGTAACGGGTCGTTGCCAACCTTTTTATAACGACTATGTGGGATATACTTCAATTTCAAGACAAGGATCTCTCTGCGAGTCAAGCAGTGATCAGGGAACGTTTGCGTCAGACTGGAGGCTCATGTACCGATATAGATCCGATGAGTATCGATTCTGGGATAGGATTTGAACAAGTAGAGTTTCCCTCTGTACTTATCTTGTAGTACTAAATCGATCAAATTAGAATATTGGTTCAGGTTGGAGGTTTGGGATCTCATATACAGTCACTTAAAGAAGTGGTCTTATTTCCAATGCTTTATCCTGAGATTTTCAAGCAGTTCAGTATCAGACCTCCAAAGGGTGTAGTATTTTATGGACCTCCAGGTAAGCATCTTTCTTTTCTCGTTCGTTTTGGATGTTTTTTTTTTATCATTTCCTGTCTTCCACAATGGAAATCCTTAATCGTATCAACCTTATTTCACTTGTGATTCTCCATCATAGCTTTTAGGAACGGGTAAAACTTTGATGGCTCGAGCTTTGGCAAATGAATGTTCGAAGGGAGGAAAGAAGGTAGCTAGATCTTTCTGGTCAAGGAAACAGCTCTAGCAATGTTTCAGGTGGCTTTCTTCATGAGAAAGGGTGCCGACTGTCTCAGCAAATGGGTGGGAGAGGCCGAGAGGCAGTTGAGGTTTGCGAATTTTTACTCTCATCTCTTCTTTGTTCAACGCATATTTTACTGATTATGCCTTCAGGGTTCTATTCGATCAAGCTTATGCCATGCGTCCCTCTATCATATTTTTCGATGAGATAGACGGTCTTGCCCCAGTTCGCTCCTCTAAGCAAGATCAAATCCATTCGAGCATAGTGAGCACACTGTTGGCGTTGATGGATGGATTAGATGATCGTGGAGAGGTAATAGCTTCGCGCATGTACTGCTGTTCTTACTTTTCTGGTTTAAAAGGTGGTGGTCATCGGTGCTACTAATCGGTTGGACACGCTTGATCCTGCCTTACGTAGACCAGGAAGGTTTGATAGAGAACTCAAGTTCTCTCTTCCCGACGCAAATGCAAGGTATTGCAGTTTTTCCAACATCGCTTGACTATGCGCTCATAAACTACCAAACTGATAACGTTTTTAGACTCCAAATTTTGACGATCCATACTTCCAAATGGGGAGAGAGCCAACCCAACGAGGCGACTTTAAAATGGCTAGCGGATAGTACAAGTGGATACTGTGGAGCCGATCTCCAGGTACATAGATGTTGTAATAAGTGGATGACGAAGTCATTATATTACAGTTTTTATGCACGGAAGCTGTCTTGGTTGCCTTGAGATCTCGTTTTCCTCATATCTACATGTCCAAGGAACGGCTGAAGCTGAATCCTTCTGATCTTGTGGTTGACAAAGATTGCTTCATAACTGCAATGCGTCGCATTACTCCAGCTTCGCGAAGAGGTAATCAACTTTTAGTGTCATATGCAGTTATCCTGGCAGATTTGAATACTACAGGGGTGTGTAAGATGTGATTTTCTCCCGCCAAGCTTTTCTGCCTTTTCTTGAATCAGATTATGCTAGTCATCTGAGCTCCACAAATAGGCGTTTCTTATGATTTCGTTCATAGATCTCTCCATTCCCTCTCGACAGCTGGATGATCGCACATCGATTCTTTTGCTGAGCACTGTGAACTCGATTCTTGACATTCGCATCCCAACCGGGTATCGCTGCTCTCAGTCAGTCCAAAGCACTGCGGCTAGTGAGCTAGAAAAGGTGGTTAGGGCGCTTGAACAACCGCCATGTGTTCCAGCAGGTGAGATCTACTTCGTTGAGTCAATTTGCATCGCATTGACGTTCATTCAGTACGCCTCATGTTGTGCGGGAGCGCGGAACATCCAGATCTTGGTCAAACCTCGTACGTTCTGCCTGCTGTACTCGGCAAACTTGATCACCTTCCCGTCTTTTCCATTGCAGTAGCTAGGTTGTTCGCCGATGGGAGACCCGAAGTATGAAAATGTATTTTACGTCGCTGTGATTCTTAATGCTAAAATTTAGGAAGCGCTTGCGCAAACTGTCCAGTCAGCACTGCGTGCAGCAGCTAATGGGCCTTGTGTTCTCCTTCTTCCTAGTATTGACCAGTGGTATGAAGTGGTCCCACCGAGCGTTGCTCATATGGTGTGTTACATACGATCTACAAACTTTTTCGAAGTTTCTCTACAGTTGTTTGCATTTTTTATCATGCTTTGTTGAAACACTTGAACTTTCGCTTGCAAACATTCTGTACATCATCATCTCACATTTCCAAAGAAAAGTTCAGCTTGCAACCGCTCTTGACTCTCTGCATGGTTTTACTTCCATTCTCTTCCTGGCATCTTGCGATTGTGCATATGATTCGTGCTGTAATGAAGTGAAGGATCTGTTTGGACCCTCCCAGTGCTTAAGGTATACCTTTTATCGCATTTAATGAATGCAATAACTCGATTATCAGACTGAGACCACCGAAAGAGCAGCATCGCCGTAGCTACTTTGAATACATTTTGGCCAGTGCTAGAATTCCTCCGAGGGTGTTTGATCGTAAGCTAATTTTCTTGACCTGTTTTGCCCAACTTTACTATACCCATTTGTTAAAAATCACTTCATTTGCAGCATCGATGTACCAAGAACCTGAAAAAGCTGAGGAAGAAGTTGTTACTGCACGCAAACTGAACGAGAAAGAGACTAGAGAACTGGTGAAAATGTACGAAAGCCAACTTCGAAGGTTTCGCATATGGGCAAGAGATAAACTGGGTGCGTGCTAATTCTATAGCTTTTCATTCTTATTCATTCGGTAACAGTTTACAGGCGCCCTTAGACGTGATCGTCGTTTCACAATTTTTGTCAAACCTGTGGATGGTGAAGACGTTCAGGACTACTACGATGTGATCAAAAATCCCATGTGCATCTCAGAAATGGAAGAGAAGATTGACAGGTGAGGACACGATGATTGCTCGTTGAAGACCTCTCGGAATTAATTGAAGATCTTGCATTCAAATGAAGTTTTGTGAATTCTGAGGATATCTGAGATGCTGATTACATCACCACTTCAGCTAGTGCCTTTGTAGGCTGGTAGATATAGATACAATGCTTGCTTCTCACGAATTTCCATGAAGCGCATAGGAGGGTTGAGCGGTCTGCTCGCACTTCATCATACTACAGGCCTACCCTACTGCAATCTAATTGCCACACGGCGCAAACTTTTGCACAAAGTAATAAAATGGCATGGTTAGTATCTTAATAGTATAGTGGACAATATCTCATGCATATGTTTATGGAGTATGTGAGCTAGTGTGACTATTTGTATCAGCATGACAAAAATCCACCTAGGAAAAGCGCTGTATTCCACAGGGCGAGATCCAGCAGTTTTGGAGTTTCAGTGCGGAGTACCTTTATCGGGGTTCAAAATTCCAAAACATGATAAGATCATCTCATAAAAAGACAGCTGGAGTTATTTCTCTTCTGTTTACTGGTTTTTTTGACTCTGCATCTTCTTTTTCGTTCATGTTTGAGAAATAGATTGTCTTGGTTACGAACGCTTTGCAGGCAGGAATATCTTCATCCTGATCATCTTCTGAGTGATATACGTCTGATAAGGGACAACGCCATAGAGTATAATCCGGCGAGCACTGAAGAGGGTACGTTAAATTTAATGTTTTTCTGTTTTTGAGAGAAGTTGTAGTCAAGCGTTTCCCTTTGAGATAGAGAGAAAATTTGGAACTTTTTGCTAGAGTTGCTTTTCCAGGTCGAGTTATAAGACACAATGCTCATGCTCTTTGGGAGACTGTGGTTGATCTTTTTGATGTTGATTTAGATGTGGACTTCGTTGAATCTTTGGAGGTATGCGTATGTACTTGCGATCTGTCGTTGTCTCCAGTTGAACTCATTTTAGAATAATGCAAAAATGTTGGCTGATGCGGGCGTGCAGCCTACAAATGAGAAACTCTTAGAGCTTCCTCCTGGCTTCAGACGAACTATCCCCTGGAGTGTTACGGCTGGCTATATGACTCAAATAGCAAAGCAGAGCGAAGAAACAACAAATGCGGGAAAAGAGGTGGTGTTATGTATACTATAGCTTTGTCAAGCAGGACTGCTTTTGATTCCAGTGTCGATCAACTTTCTGTCGCTTTGCTGAGGAGTGATCAAGTTTGATTTTAGGTTACCTCACCTGCTGCCGCCAACAACAACGTCCAGCATGTGAAATTCCGCACTAATCGTAAGAGTCGTGGAACTTATGCTTTTCCTAACTCAGCAAAAAAGAAGAAGACCGCTGCCATTGTGAAGTCTCTGAAACAGTCTTTAGCAAGGTTAGTCTGCCATTTACTGTTTTATAATAACTTTCACAGTCTGCGAATCTTTCAGCAACGTTGATGAGAGCTCCGAAAGCCAGACCTCTCAAGGAGGATCCGAGGAGGAGCTCGCCGAGAATGGAGTCGCTGTTGAGGCTGAAGAGGAGGAGCAGAGAACTCCTCAGTCCTCACCGAAGAAGAAACTGATTTTATCGGAGGAGAAAATCACTGAACTTGTAAATAAAGTATGATATTTTTGAAAGTTTTGTGCAGCAGTTTGATTAACATCGTTCTTGTTTTCAGTGTGTACAGTGTAGTAATGGATGGTCAATTAGCGAGTTGGAGCGCTTGGCTGCTGTTCTTGCTCACGATATTGATGAATTCAGGTGATGATCGATTCTTGTGCATATTAATAGTATACCTGATGGTGGCAATTACGTATGAAAAGTGGCGGTATTTGAAAATGTTCCCTTGCAGAGATAAGTGGGATCGTTCAAGCCTTCCGTCAAAGCTAATGGCTACAGTAAACACTTGGCAAGTCAATTCTGGACGCGTTTCTGTTTCTAAATAACGAGGTGCAATTCACTGCCACGCCGTATATGAACATCTTTCTCTTGTTTTTATTCTTTCATGTCAATTCTATTCTACTTATCTATTTATGTGTTTTATTATATAAATTATTTGACTCTTTTTTAGCTATTGGCGGGATCGTTATTAGCCCGTTGAGCTTCTTCCTTTTGGGTGCTTCATGTATATCCTCCTGTGTAATCACGATTGTATGTTGTTGTGAAAGTAGGACATGATGTTGATTTAAGTGTCTAATTGAAAAGATCAGAATTTGCTTTCCAATAGGTGCGGTTACTTGTATCATATGTTCTTCCACGTCGCTGTAGATCTCAATTTTGCCTTTGTTCAATGGAACAATCCTTTCGGTTTGATTTACAAAGTCTTTTCAATCTTGGCACTACAAAGCATCTTTTGTGTGTCATCTCAATTCACTGATCGACTGTCATTTAGCTTTTGATAAACTTAATAAGAGAATGCTGTCGTTGTCGTGGCGTATTTCGCTACATCTATCGCCAAGATTTGTCTTGTGTCTTCTTCGCCTCCTATTATATACTTTTTAGTAATGGACTTTCAAAATAGAGCTGGAGGTAAGACTGGAGGAGGAGGTGTAGCTTCTGCTCAGGATGCAGGTGTGGATCGGAGGGAACGGTTGAGGTTAGTGGAACTTTCACGAGTGTTGCGTTCATTCTCTAAGCTCGTTTGTGATTTATTGTTTTCAAGGCAACTCGCTCTCGAGACTATCGATCTCCAAAAGGATCCATATTTCATGCGGAATCATCTGGGAACTTATGAGTGTAAATTATGTCTCACCTTACACAATAATGAAGGTAAATGACCCTTTTTTGGTTTGTTCTGAAGTGGTTTTCTTTTCTGGGAGAAAAGACATCGACAACTGTTGGCTATTTCCAAAACCTCAAAATTTAGGATCATATCTTGCTCACACGCAAGGTAAAAAACATCAGTCAAATTTGGCTAGAAGAGCAGCAAAGGAAGCACAGGAGCAGCCATTTTTACCAGCCCCAGCTGCACCAAAAGTAGAACTTCGAAAATTTGTGAAAATTGGTCGGCCTGGATATAAGGTACTTTTTTGGCACACGATCTTCGTTTAAATAGATGAAGTGACAGTCGCAGTGGATAACATCTTTGCAGGTGACTAGAGAACGTGATCCAGCTACTGGGCAACAAGCGCTATTATTCCAAATAGATTACCCTGAAATAGCAGAAGGCGTTCAACCGAGACATCGCTTCATGTCCGCTTACGAACAGAAAATCCAACCGCCTGACAAAAGGTTTGCTTAGGTTGGATGTCACTTTCTGATTTAGCGATTATTTATTCAGGTGGCAATACCTCCTTTTCGCTGCTGAACCGTACGAAACAATAGGCTTCAAGATTCCGTCCAGGTACCTTTCTCTTAAGCACATCTCCAGCATACTCACTGGAAGCTCTTATAAAATTTGTTAGAATTGCTTTGTTGTTCGACCTTGATTACATTTTGATTTTGCTTTGAATTTTTGTCCCAAATCATGGTCGAGATTTTAGGGAAGTCGATAAGTCGGAGAAGTTTTGGACAATGTGGAACAAAGACACCAAACAATTCTTCTTACAGGTAAGTAGTTTTCCTTCGCTGATGGAACATTTCTATGAAACCCAATCAGTCGCGTTGTGACATTCACATGCAGATTAACGAGCCAGTGAACAATGAAATTCCAGGTTGCCTTCCGGTTGGACTCCCATATAGGCGGCAATGATGTAGGCTCAGCTCCGCCACCTGTAATGAATGCACCCATGCCCCCTCCACCTATGTTCGTTCACTACTGACCTTGTTTGATTGTTGTTTGTTTTGCTTGAGTATACATACAATGTCTTTGCTTGAGTTACATTTGTTGGTCTCATCTTTAAACAAAGACTATGAAGCGTTCTGGAATCTCACATCACGCAATGCATCCAAGTTGGCTATGTGCTTCATACGAGAGGCAGAACGTGAAGTAATGTTTGAGTCTACCATGACTACAGAAGTGACTTATTGGTCAACTCTGACTCTTTGAGCAGACGAACACCCTTATTTGGTGGTCAAAGCAAAGAAGTTGATGCGAGTTTTATAAGTATAAAAGTGCTGACCTGGTAAACGACAGCACTTCCGCAATTCTTTGTTAAAAACAATTGTCAAATCGTTTGGTCAATGAGATCGCAAGTTTTGTCCGGGGTACTCCTGTAAGGCCTAATGCATATCTACCTCCACTGATTTCATTCCATCAGGATTTTCGGTCGCTGCGATTAGACTGCCTGGGTGACTGTTCATTGCGAAAAATCGCTCGTCGCTTGCTTAGAGGGCATACTCACAGCGATTTTGCACACGCTCACACATCAAGCCAAGTTAGACGCACCCTCGGAAAAATCGTGCTGGTTTGCCTGAAGTGCACTTCTCCAAGGAAATTTGAACAGGATGCATGCATTTTGGTGCTTCATATATGGTTAATATGCTGTTGGAGGACACTGTATGCATCAAGAAAATTTGAAAAATATGGAATCCTCAAAACCTTCAACTGCCTTTGAATCGAGCATGAATGTCAAAATTTGTTACCGTCATAGATGTATAGTATATGACACTCAAACGGTCAGGTTTGCTTCCCTGTTTTTTTTTCTATGTGCGTCATTGTTCGTCATTTGCGGGTTCAGTGCTGGCTCAAAAGTAGGTACTATAAAACTTTATCTATGGGGGTTATATTGTACGCCGATTACGAACGGCACGTTTATTTCGCACGGTAGTGCAGTCCGGTGGAGTTCCGGTAGGATTACGGTAGAGGGTTAAAACCACGGATTTGCCCCAAACTTCGTCTAGGGGACTATCTGAACGCTGAGCATGAATATCGTATTCATCTTCTACGGTAGCGCCATTTTCTCTGGTAACGGTCGGTATACCCTGGATGGCTAAAAGTTCCTTTGCTCAAAACTTTGCCTAGAAGGGTTTCTAAGCAAGCTGACTATGAGTATCATACTCTCCGCGTTTTGGAACATAAACGAAGAATCACGTTAGGTGTGCGGTAGGAGGGTTAAGTGATAGATCTGCTCGAAGGGGTGTTATCTGACGTGCTGATCACGTATATCGCACTCATCTCGCACGATAAATTTTTTTTGTAGATTTTTGGAATCTAAATTTGGTTGAAATGCGGAAAAATTGCTCTTTCACGTACCGTAGCTCATCATAACCCTAACAATGAAGCATTGTTGCAGCGAACGAGCATGATATTTGGAATCAGCATGCTTAAAAACCCATGCAGGCAAAGTTCTGAGCAAGTTCGGGATTCTTTGCCATTACCGTACGCTCACAGTAACCGGGGAAAATGGCACTACCGTAATAAATGAATATGATATCCATGTTCAACTTGTCAAATAATTTCCTAGACGAAGTTTGGGCAAATCCGTGACTTTGACCCCCTACCGTAATCCTACCGTAGTCTCCCAGATGGCACTACCGTGCGAAGTAAGTGTGATATTCGTAATCAGTGTGCGAAATAGCTCCTCTAGACGAAGTTTCAGCGAAATCCGAGATTTTCATTTTTTTGGGTCAACTAATGCGGAATAGCGCTCCGGGGCACTTGGGGGGGGGGGGGGGGGGGGGAGAAGGAGGGGCGATTTGTAAACTTCGTATACCCCGTTTCGCGCTGCAAACTTCTGTCGTCGCTTAGTTAGGGGGTCTACTCGCTCAAAAATGTGACCATTTCAGACACATATGTAGGAGCTAAATTCAGCTGTAGGCAATGATTTCTACCGATGTCTTTCCATCGCCGCAAAATTTGCGTAGACCGATCACTGCTCCATAAAGTCGTTTGTACAAAGATACCCTTTAGTATTGGTAGGGACACCTTTTATAATATAATATAAGATTATGCATTTCGTAAACTCTGAGTACGCATTAGAAAAGTGTTTCATAACCTTTAGCTGCCAGTCTGTGAACAACAGCCATATTTGCCATGCAACCAAGATTGCGTTCCGCTTCTACAGACTATGGGCAAGGTTCAAAATGCAGCATCACTTACTTAGGGCCGCATGCACTAACATCCCCGCGGGGGAGGAGAGGGGATCTGAGAGGGGGTGCGTCATATCTCGCTACTCTACGTATCTTCCTTCTTCTTTCTCTATCTTGCTCATGAAGTTTTCCATACAATTATACCTGCGCACAATGGATGCCAGGTTACTGGCATAATTGATTAGATTTTCACTATTTTGTGTGATGTCCTGGGGATTCCCTGGGAACCCCAGTCACCTCTCATTTTCAAAGTGATTTATCTTTCTGAGAAGTCAATGAAAACGCTGCAAAATTGTATTGTGGATATACTACGGCACTGCTAAGCATCTCTACGACAGGAGAAATGGAATCCGAAGATTGTTCGACGATCCCTGCCTCGCGAGTTAGGGATTGCCGAAAATTTCAATATCTTGCGATTTCACTTATTTCTACTATAAACATCTTTTGTAGTGCCGTAATATATCCACAATACAATTTTACAGCGTTTTCACTGAGTTTTCAGGAAGATAAATGGCACTGAAATTGAGAGGTCCCGTGGGGATTCCCTGGGGACCACCAGGGGATCACAAAAAATAGTGAAAATCTAATCAATTATGCCGGTGACCTGGCATCAATTGTGCGCAAGTATTAGGGTATGAGAACCTTCATAAGCAAGATAAAGAAGGAAGAAAAATGATACATAAGTACCGAAATATGGCGCATCCCCTCTCAAATCTCCTCCTCTCCCCAGCGGGGATGTAGGTGCATACGGGCCTTAGGGCCGCATGCATCAACATCCCCGCTGGGGAGGATCTCGCAACTTAAAAGAAAAGCTTCATATTGCGAAGCTCCAGATATCTGGATTTTACGCTGTCTGCACGTCCATAAGTATTCCTACTATCCTTCACTCCGAATATGTTGAACAGGAGCGAGAAGCTGTACGAACCGCATTTTCCAGCTTTTGTATGATCCCTGATGATCCCCGGCGCTTTTCTTTAAAGTCATTTTTCTTTCTCCGAAGTTTACGAAAATCTTCCAAAGTTGTACTGAACATCTAACACAACAGTGATAAGCATGTTGCTGATGAGAACAAATGAGTTTCTGAAAAATCGAGTTTTTCGGCAAACCCCAAATTTCGACCTGTGGATCATCGAAAATTTCATGACTTCAAAACATCATTTGTTCTTATCAGCAACATGCTCAGCACTGTTGGGTTAGATAATCTACACAACTTTGAAAGTTCTTCGTTAACTTCGGAGAAAGTAAAATGACTTTAAAGAAAAGCGCCGGGGATCATCAGGGATGATACAAAAGCTTGAAAATGCGGTTCGTACAGCTTCTCGCTCCTGCTCAACATGCTCGTAGTGAAGGGTAGTAGGAATACTTACGGATAAGTACACAACGTGAAATCCAGGTATTTGGAGTTTCGAAATATGAAGCTTTCTTTTAAGCTGCGATCCCCTCCCCGCGGCGATGTTAGTGCATGCGGCCCATAGTGGTCGAACAAGAGCAAGAGTGTTGCATTACGAGACTAACAAAAGGAGTTGTAGGCACATAGTGGGTAGCGAGACGATATGGTAAGGGGAAGTGTGACGTAAGTTTTCATAGTGGTCATAACGCAAACGCGGCGGGACCATATATTTAGCGCATGCGCGGCGGACTTGAATCATATGTGCAAATCGGAAATCCGAACTATAGTCGCGGGAGATGCTTCAAGCATAAGAGCTAAAAGTCGGAAATAGAGGCAAATTTGCTGAGATGTTCCCTCATACATGGGCCATGCAAGTGACTAGGTGAACCGCGGGGAACAAACGTATATAATCCCAGCTCAGCTTGCAGCAATGCAAATGCTCCACCGCTTTCGAGGGCGCTTCGCAATGCATGTGTGCGGTGAACTTCAAAAGTAAGATATATTTTCGTCCTCACTTCCTTAATAAGCGGACGATTCGAGACAAGATGCCCATATCATTGAAAAGAGCTCTTCATGCTCTTCAGAATGTGCTTACTAATTTCGATGGAAAGCTGATCTACTTCGATTTCTCTGCTTCCAAAAATGGGGTTCTCAAGAAACAAAGAGAAGCTTTTTTAGCACCTGCTCACTTTTGGCTACCCATGAAAAGAAGCGTTTTTCACGGAGTTGATACAATGAGGAAAATCCCGCCTACTTCGACTGACCAAAAGTTAAGCAGGGCAGGGTGTTCCGTGGAGAAGTTTAAAAATAACTTTTGGCTTGACTGCCGGAACCTCGTTTGCACACTGATTGGGCTTGAAGGCTTTTATTACGTATAACAGGGGCTTATATATCCATACTAACTATGTGGAAATTGAGTAATATACAACATAATGTTGGCTAGTGAAAACATAAGCAATGCTGAATCAGTTCCCGAAATCCTTAACTAGACAAAACATTATACATTGAAGAAATTCTGATACAGAATACCTCGTGCTCTAGGAAACAAAATGATTAACATAATCCAAACATATAAACATAACAATCACAAACATTAACGCAATTCAACTGAGACGTCTAACGAGCTCATATGTTGCAGAAAAAGCACAGAACTAGGTGTTTTTATACTACAAATATTGTCCTGCAAAAACCTGATAGCGGGTAAACCAGTATACATTGTATTTCGCAGTTCTAGTAGTATTCAAGTTTTCAATTAGTATCAGTTGTATCTCGCACAAATGAACTGTACCTGCTTCTTCCAATAACATATTAGCCAGTGCTCAGATGATTTTTGGGGCCAAACGCGCTGCCTCTTGAAAAAAAAGGAGTTGGAAATTTAACGACATGGCATAGGGTTGTGCACAACAACGAAACGTACATTATTGACGAATTTTGCTAAAATTTTCTCATTTTGTTGGTTTACGAAAAGGTTGCAAACTTACGAAATCACCTAATATAACGTTGGG